TAGAATGACACTGGCCCCAGTGTCAAAATAACCAAAGTATACTTATCCACTCAAATTGTTTCAGCTCAAAAGCGAAACCCGTGAAAAACAAACTTTTTCATCATTTTCCCAACGTCTATATCAGTTATAGTTCAAAAAAAAGAGTTAAAGAGGTTTTTTCGATTTAGGGAAAAAAAACAACCTAAAAAGAGCTTTTATAGATTGATATATATATCATGCAAGTTTCATCCATGTGCACAAGGGCTATCTGTTCCTTTCTCTTTTCTTCAACAAACCCTCAAGGTGAAGAAGACATACCAGACCTAATCTTCTGATTTTCCATATTTGCACTCAACCTCGTCCCCCCCGATAAGCCTCTCGACTGCATCTGGAGGAAGGCCAATCAGTTCCAATGTCTTCTCCCACACTTTGGAGCACGTCTCGAGATTGTGCGATTCTTCGGATGGATTAGTTGGGCGACAATCGTGGGAAAGGTATGCACACACTGGCCACTCTTCTGCTCTCAACATCTCACAGTATTCGGAGACTTGAGGATCAGTGGCAGCAAAAAGTGAACTTCTAGAACCTGCAACGGGCATTCCTGATTAATCGGAAGGATAAATCTACTAGTACTCCAAAGATTGTACCTCAAAATGTACCCCAAAGGTTTACACTTACATTTTGTATCAATGTAAGTGCGAGATTGATAACCGACATTGACACAAAATACCAGTCTGAAATTTTGCAATTGCACTGACATTTTGTGTCAATGTAAACAATCAAAGTGTGAGTGTAAACCTATATTTGAGATACGTTTTGAGATACAAACTTTGGGGTACACCTATCATGGTTGTAATCGGAATTGTAGATTCTGTGTAGGATGCCAAGAAACAGGCCATTTGTTCAAGTATAGGCAGAAATGCACTGTGGGAGCATGTTACAATTACTATGGCAGATTAGAGAAGGAATGCTGATGATATAATGCATGACATATTACACATCATTCTGATTCATGGGGGCTCATTGTGTCACTATTTTTAAAAATCAATACGGGCAGAATTGAAATTAATCCTTCTTCCCTTAAGTAAACCTTTTTAAAATCACATCAAGTTGTTTTTGTCATGCATTGTGGATAGACAACCTAAGATTCCACAAATTTAGAAGGGGTGTAATAACCAGCCGACACAAATACAGATTGCAAAAGTATCTTCTGACATGTATTAGTAAGGAATTGAATTGGGAAGAGGGTACTAATAAGGAATTGAATTGGAAAGAGCCGAAGAGGTGAGATAGTGACCTTCCTCGGCATTGAAAATAAAATAGGGGATCAAACGATACGCTGCTTGAATGATCTTAGGAAGATCCCTTGCCTGCATTATGAGTTGAAAACATAAATGTTATACGGAGTATTATGTAATGATCTCAAATCACTACTCCAGTACTCCGTACATCACAACCATTACTACAAATAAGGAAACATTGAATAAAAAACTTGGGAAGACAATAATCTGCATTGTTGTAATCATATTTGCAAATGAACAGATTTTCCGGATACACCATGCAAAAAAATAATAATGGTGAAGACACTTTCAGCATACTCTTTTTCACTTTGCAGACTATATTCTCCAGGAAACAAAATGCAACTAGTTTGTGTACCTTTTCAAAGTAGTTTGTACAAAGAGTAAGCCAAAAGTGTTAAAACTACTAACTCTCCCACTATTTTTCAAATCAACTAATCAGCTTAACAGATCATATAATCAGTTTAAATTTTGCAATAAAGAATGGAATAGCTACCTTCACACTCTTTAGACTTATACAGATGCTCAACCTTTCTCCTTTTTGTCATATTTGCATTTGGCCTTTTTTAACAATAATTCAGAAGTATAAATGTGAGCAAATCATGTGGCACTAGAGATGAAGTCAAAGGAAAGAAGTGATTTTTTACAGCTCAAGTTGACAGCCAATTTGAGTGGAAGTAATATTTGTGATTTGCAACATACTCCCTCCATCCCAATCTTTTTGTCCAATATTCCTTTTTGGGTTGTCCCTATGTATTCGTCCACTTTCCAATTCTACACATCTACCAGGGGTCAATCAATGGAGGAAGCTACAAAAATACCCTTACTTTTTGGGTGTAAGAAAGGAGATATCTAACACATCTGTGTCCAACACTCCATGGGATCCAAAAAAATATCTCCTACATATGTCGCCGGCTAAGACAGAGGGAGTCGGATCCAACAAAATTGTCTCCAACATCTGTTGCCGGCGAAGACGAAGGGAGTAACGATGGCTAATCTGTGTCGCCATAGAAGAAAATTGAGAAGCAAGACGGGAGGGTGTGACTGTGTATACGCAGACCTTACCCTACTAAAAGTAGAGAGGCTGTTTCCAAGTGAAAATTGAGAAGCAATGACGAAAAATATATCGTAGACAAGTGTACAGAATAACAATAATTATATTAAGAGCAATAACAATAATAATCATAATATTAGGAATAATGATGATGATGATAATAATAATAATGGCTCAAGTAGCACAAAAGAAGTACAAAAGCCATATGGGACTGAGGGTTATCCAATGGCACGATATTTTTCCTGTGAATTATACACATGTAAAATAGCAGATGGGATCAAGGAGTATTGCAAAGGACATGTCTTGAGAACTTACAACATTGGTTTGAACGATTCCAGGAGAAACACATATTATATCTACGCCAGCTTCAGCTGGCAATCTCTTATGAAGTACGCTGCTAAACATAACCTGCAATTTTAATACCAAAAACAGCCATAAAATTTTGAACTTTGCAGGAACAGCTTTGAGCCATCACTTATGAAGAGTTTATGGATGGAGAAACACGTACATGCAACATGATGGAACAAAAAAGTGAAAAACATGCAGATATTAACCCAGTCAAGAACAAGTGTAAAAAACAGAAGACATTATCACTTTCCCTTTCTAGGACAAGTATTATCGATTGAGTTTTTTGATGACGTCAGTGAGATTGAGAGACTAAAATTCCCCTCACTCATAATCTCAAGAATCGTGGCGGACAATTAGGCATTGGCAGACATATATCCACCTGTATGCGGAGTTCTACAAGGAAAGAAAGAGAACTGTTCTGAGTCGATCTGAAGTCCGTCCTTCAACACCCACGGTTACGCTTACATAGAGCTCCATCCCAAGAAAAAGTGGTGGTGAAAGGTGTGACAAAAGATGATACAGATTTCGTCCAAGGCCCATCTGATGAAATACCTTGAAAATTGACGCACAGACTTGTAAACCGTTGAAACTGCGTACGAAGTATTTCTTTTCAAATTCTTTGTTTGTGCAGTAATATGCGATGTACGGACATTATTGTGAAACTAATGCCATGGTATCTGTGACTGGGGTTGGGATTTTGCTGCAACTAACAAGGACATTGAATCAAGGATTTTAAGGTTTAATTGTTCTGCAATTCAGATGTTTTGAGAGGAAATTAGGGTTTGAGGATTGTCATATTTGGAGACTCCGCAAATTAATGCACATATGTATGTTTGGCATTCGGTCTAAGAGAAGTACTTTAACATCGGTCTTCTGTAATGCCTAGATATGTGTTTGACATTAGATCTGAGAAAAATCTCTTAACATTTTTCTTCTTTCAATGCCCAAATATATGTTGACATTAGTGCAAGATATGAGTTCAACATTACATTGTTCTTATTTAATTTCCAGATATATGTTCGACAGTAATACCTAAGACATTTCTTTGCCAATAGGTTGAAGAGAAAGTAAATTAACATTCTTTTTCTGTAATGTCCAGATATGTGCTTGACATTAATGCCACACACTTGAGGCTAGCCCGTAAAAAATTGAGGGCCACAAACTTGAGTCTTTATGTTCACGCCTACGGCCCGAGTAAGAGTGAGAGGGAGAGCGGGAGCTGGAGGGGGAGAGGGAGGGCGAGGGCGAGGAGGATGAGGACAAGGATGAGAATGAGAATGAGAGAGAGAATGAGAATAAGAGAGAGAATGAGAAAGAGAATTTGGGGAAAGGTTACGGATTATGGGTTGGGGTTAAATTAAGAAGAGAAGAACAAAAAAAGTGTTATTACGGGAATTAAAAAGAAGGGGTTCTAAATTGGGAAAATAAGTGAGTTTTGGTAACCTTTCTAGCAAATTTCACTTGCATTTGTGGGCAGGACGTGCCTATGGTGTTGGCCCAAGGAGTAGTGCAATAGCAATTTAATTGCTATTGCACACCCTCCCCAGACCCTACTGTTGTGGGATTCACCTGGGTTGTTGTTGTTGTTCTTACTTTAATAAATACTCCTATAATAATTATTGAAGTACTCATTATTTGGAAGTATTCATTATTTGAAAGCATTCATCATTTGAAAGTATTCATTATTTGGAAAGTCTTAGTACTGCTAATTACTTTAGTACTCATTAAGTTAATTGAAGTTAATTGCTTCATATTAGTATTAGCTCTCTGTAATAGCTATATATACCCTCCTAGTTGAAATTAGACCAAATCATGGGCCAAGTACATGTGGCCTGCAAAATGCCAGACAGAAACAAATTAAACAACGTGCTTGGACTATGGTATACGGGCAAGCCTAGCCCGTAATAAATTGGGGGCCACAAACTTGAGGCTTTATGTTCATGCCTACGGCCCTAGTGAGCGTGAGTGAGAGTGAGAGTGAGAATGAGAATGAGAATGAGAAAACACAGGGAATTACAGCTTACATTAATCCTCTTTCTTCCCCACATGTTTGTAACAATTGAGTAATGTTACAGATTCATTTGTGGGCAGGACGTACCAACGGCTCCTCCCCAAGGAGTAGCACAACACAAATTCATTTGTAGCCTTATTAAAATAATACTATAACCAAATTGATGTTGCACAACTCCTTGGGTCGGCACCACTGGTACGTTCTGCCCACAAATGCATCTCCAACATACACCAATGAGGAGCCAAGTGAATAATGTTCTGTGATTAACCTACCAATGCTCTGGGGCAAGGCTAGCTTTAGGACCTACCATCAATGATGTCAAGCTTTTTTCTAGAGAAATAACAAATGATAAGGTATAGCACATGTTACCTCTCCTTGTTGACAATCAAATTATACCACACAGTTTTTATAGAATTTCAGCTTGACTGCACATAATGGTGGTGAAGAAATCATAGAAAGAAACAAGTGGGTCAAGAAGTGTTAAGTAAGAATCAGTTTCAAAACACGTGCCTGTGCAAGTTTACTGCCTGAGTATCCCACTACACTTGTGTACTTTCTCTTCCCAGACACAACATTCATATCATCGGCATCAACAAATCCAATATAGTGCATCTATACATAATAAAAAACTTGGATTTGGTCAGCTTAAGGATTAAGACTGCTTGATAAGGATAGGAAAAACAAAAGATGCATGTAGGAAGACTACTGCACATATGGCATTTATATGCAAACACAAATTACTTTTGAATCCAGAATTTGACACTATTTTCCAGCACATTGGCAGCCCATAGCAACTAAAAAGTATATAAGTAGTAATTTTATAATATTAATAAACTTGTTTAAGTGAAAAAGCACACCAAAGTAAGGTAACCCTCTTTTTCTTATAAATAAATGAAGTGTCACTTTCTCACAAAGTGTCGCACTGTCGCAGACAGATAAAAATCAGACTTTGCAATGAGATATGAGAAGTACAATTCTTATGAGATAATAGTACAAGTAGTAGTATAGTAGTAAACTAATCATATTATACTCATCATCAGAACATTTAATTACTCATAAAACTACACATCTGTAATCAATTTTTTCTAAAGATGGACTTTCTCCAACTCTGTCCAATGAACACGTACCGAATTTAAGAGAAGTAGAAAACTCTCAAAATTCAACTCCGTTTCAAGCACAGTCCAATATTAAGGGAACTCTCAATTGAACTCATGCCCATTGCACAATAAGAGAGAGAGAGAGAGGGGAGGGAGAGAGAGAGACAGCCAGAGAGGAGTAAAGAGAGCATTAGTTATCTCCTTGCCTTCAACCAAAAACAAAGAGTACACTAGCTCAGATGACAATGAAGGGAACCTACACCTTAATGCATAAACGATGGGTGAGTAAATGAATGTTACAGAAAGCGCTAGGGAATAGACAGAAGGTGAAGGCTCCCCTAGTGCCTAGACTGCCTAGATTTTCTTACTACTGCTACATTCACTTAAGGAAACTACACATGACATGAATATCAATGCCTTAACATAGAGAAGTTTTACTTCTTTATCCAGACTCCAGAGATCCTCAAGATTTTTTAATAAATGAAGATGGATTTGATAGATATTCAAGATTGGTGTTATAGAATGTGTTTCCTATTGAATTCCGCTTCTGTAATTTAGTGTTGTCATCATCATCAGACATAAGCTCCTCGATCCCAACTAGTTGAGTCGGTGGCATTTATTGACAAATTAACTGTATAAAAAAATTAGCACTAAATTTATGCAAAAAGCATACAGACCCCCCACTGGATGCCCTAACTTTCTCAGTGTTCACAAAAGGGATATTGAGATGAAAAACCAATCATCATGAGACAGCGATGACTTCACTCTACTATTTGGCATCAAAACTGGTTTGAGGCAATTGTATATTGTGGCCAACTATAATTTAGGTTTTCACTTTTGGACAATGAGATGCGGATTCTTGCCTATGTGACTATATTCCATTTCTCTCACCTTTTTTAAATTATTAAGTTCAGTGGAGCATCCCTCACATTACGAGTTGATTTCCGTTAACATTGTAATAAGCTGGGAGGGCTGCTACTCATGTTTTATGATAATACACTGAATAGTCATGCTTATTCATAAACCTTTTTTTTCAAACAATAAATTCCTCATATATGCATCAATTTAAAAAATACAAATGTCAAAGGAATGAAAAACTGATTATATAAATATTAATCAACAATCCAGGAGTATGCTGACGTAAAACAAATTTAGAAAATGATGCACGTCATCATGTAACTTACTATGGAGTTCACATTGACAATTCTGCTTGGAGAACCTCTAATAAGAGATGGTAAGAGCAATACGGAAAGCAATGCTGGAGCAAGATGATTCACCTGCATGTGCTCCTCATAACCATTCTTTGAAAACCTCTGTGGTTCTAAAGGAAAAAGTAGTATAAGCAACTAGTTAATCAGGAAAGGTAGAAATATGCAAGTTGAGTTTTTCCTACAGATCCATCAAAACAAAAGATTGGGATTCAATGCCCTAATGAAAATGATATTGATCATAAGAAATAAAAATGCAGAGGAGCAAAGGCACTTCTAATACCGTTCTTCAAAAAAGAATACAATTAAAAAGAGAATAAAAGGAAATTAGGGTAAAAAAAAGATTAAAATATTGAATATGACAATAAAAGTAACAAAAACAGAACAAATTTAATGTATGTGTTTGTTCAAGAATATATTTGGCAGTTAGATAAATTCATTGAATGTGAAATACTAACCCCCAATAGCAAATATCCCTGCATTGTTAATGAGAACGTGTAATGGTCCTGCACGTGCATTCCATGCATCGGCAAATCTCACAACAGAATCCAATGAGAGAAGATCAAGTTCCATGGCCTTTGCAAGATTGCATTAAAGAACATTAGTACCCTCAACTCAACAAATTCATCTCAAAATAATTTAAACACATTGTAGGATCTGATAGAAAATAATGTTTAATTAAACAATCAGCCTACATTGAGTACTTAATCTCAAGTTCACATTACTTGATAACACACCTCAATATTTAGAGGAAGGCCCTTTCCAGACCAACCCTCTTGCCACTCCTTTATCAAGTCATTTGCAGCATTTGTATTTCTGACTGCCATAACCACATGAGCCCCTGATTGTGCCAACTGTCTGTGCCAAGAAGGAAAGGTTATACAAACATGCACCCACATGTGGCGTTTCACTGGGTTGTTTTCTTGTGTTGTTCCATAATGTACATGCAAAAGTAAATAACGAGGGCAGGCAAAGACATAAGTTTTTCATGCCTTCATTCTTACATCTAAAGATGAGAAGAAAACACGTATAGGGTCAAAAAAGAGAGACCAAACACAAAGTTCTAAGGAGCTGTTTTCTTGGAAAATAGGAATCAGAAGGGTAGATATATCTAATACTCCGTATTTTGTATGGAAAGGGTATCAGTAAAAGATATAGTGTGTGTTTGGAAGTACATTGGAATCAGAACCATTGTTGTAGTAGTAGTTTGTGAACGGAAACAAACTTTGAGGAGAAATGTGGAACTGCGGAAGACTACTCAAGAATGAAGAGGCTAAACTGTTGAAGTATTTAATATTCTTTTCATACCTTTAAAATCTAAAAAAACAAACATTTTTTCACTTAAAACATAATATCCCATCTATTCCATTACTTCTTTCTATACCACGCAATATGTGCATTGAAATATCCTAATATTTTCTAAGAACGCTTACTATTTTAGCACATAGAATCTTCCTATTAATTTATTATGCCCTGGTATCATAGTTAAAATGTCAAGAACGCAGTCAAAGATTCTAGGTGAAGGCAAATTTAGTATGTTCTATCATCTAATAAATGCAAGTCCCATAATAAAGATGCTCCTCACCCACCCCCTACCTCCATTTTGTGGGCATTTTCTCTCGCACACCATCACCACTACAAGCCATGCAACAATGGTTGATCTTGATATATAAAATTGAAATATCTTAATATATTCTTTTGAGAATATGATATAAAACCAAAACTATTTTTAGATGCATCCAGTGGGATAATCTGGTTTGGTTAATTAATAGTAGATGATAAACCAAACTTGAGATGAGGAGGGAAGCTGATTTGCAGACTACTGAAGAAGGTGACAGAGAACTTTGAGATATTAAGTACTTTAAATTGGAAGACAGCAATATAATTGGAAGGTTGTCCAACATTTGAAAACCTGAAATGAATCATCATGGACAAAATTGGAAGAAAAGTGAAGAATGAAAAGGAAAAATTATTGAAGTCTTTTCCTTAAAAAATGAAGTAACAAATATGTGCCTCTCTTTAATTATATTTCCGGATTCCAATTTCCAAAAGGTATGAACCAGTCACCTCCTTACAAGTTCAGATCACACCTCCTAAAAGCAGGGCGCTCTCATTTATAGCATACTTTTTTAACTCAATCGAACAATGTTCTAATAACTTTGCAGTGACTGATCAATGAATCGTCGAATAGGCTTCCCAGAACTAATCCATTTCCTAGATTCATACCAAGAGATTCCATTGAAATCAAGCTGGAAACAAAAGGAGTAAATTCAGTCACCTGGCGGTTTCTCTGCCGATGCCGCTAGTGGAGCCGGTGACGATGCAGGTAAGACCATTGATGGGAGGGAGAGGCAGAGGATTCTGCAGGTGGCTCGCGGCTATCCTCTGGAAGAGCATCTCATACGCCAGGCACAACCACCCCCGCAGCCATTCCACCCATCCCAACGCCTCCTTCTTCTTCCTCTCCTCAGGCGGCGGCGATTCGCCATGGCTGGTATTTACTTCTTTCATCTCCTAGGCTCCGGAATCCGTTCCGTAATCTCTCTCGCTCTCACTCCCTCAAGTGATGCCCTCCTCTTCTCTTCGCAGTAGGCTTCTCTGAATTGATCTCAGAATTCTCTCCAGTTTCGTCTTTTACTCTTTAGCTTTGAACAAGAGCCGATGACAGATCAAATATTCTAGTGGTAATTAACAAAATTTTCATTTTTCCTCCATAAAAAACACAAAAAAAATGTTTATTTTCAGACTCTAAAAAAAGTATTTCCACTAATTTCGAGTTAACAAAATGTTCATCCTACAAATACTCATTTCGAAATAACAAAATACTCGTATTCATTTGCAGGGTGTACCAAATTCTAGATTTTTCTTCAAAAACGTGTTGTAAGTGCACATTTTCCATACTTATTACAAACTTTCAATGGAGTGCTTGTTAGTGGCTTAAAATGTCGATATTTAATTAACAATCTGCTTTATCTCAAAAGTTGCTTTGAAATGTACGTGAAGTGTTTGTTACTGTCGTAAAATGTATGTATTCAAATTAAAAGTCTGCTCAATTTCAAAACCTACTTTGAAATATATGTGATGTGTTTTTTACTAGCATAAAATATTTGTAATTCAAATAAGAGCATGCTCTGATTCATAAATTGCTCTGAAATGTTTGTGAAACACTTGTTATCGGCGTAAAATATTTATTTTCTAATTAAGAGTTTGTTAAAGTTTAAAACTTACTATAACATCTTTGTGGAGTGTTTGTTAGTGGCGTAAAATGTATGTATTACAGTGTCACCGACGTTTAATCTATGTGAACCTATTTCATTTTTACGCACGAGTCCTTTGTTCATTGTCTTTGTAGCTACATTGCTTTTGACAGGTAATATCAACATCTCTCTCCAAATTTTGACAAAGGATCATTTCCCAACTCAGTACTCGTTCTGAGAATTATTGGACAAGGTCGTTCATTTAATCAAATATAAATTAAGTTGAGAGGCATTACAAGTAGACAATTTGGTCGTTTTATTTACTATTTTAGAGTTAATTAAATGTGTTTTTAGTGCTTGTAAAATAAGTGACTTTTGTTTTTAGTCATTCTAAAATATTTTTAGCTCTTTTAATTAAATGTGGATAGCCCATTTTTTTCATACTCAACATCTTAGTCCTGCATTTCCATTTATGTTTGATACAATTTTCAAGCTCTGAATTGTGTACTTATTCATATTACATATCTCCCAAATTTCTTAGAAATAGAATATAATAAAAATTTGGTAATCAGAGATATAATTTGAATATATTAGAGAATATATTAGAGAATATTAAAAATTATTCTTTTTTTGAGGATAGAGCACTATTGGCACCAACTCTCGAAGTAGTTGAAATGATAAATGAATTTGTCCTATCCCTCATACCTGGTGATGAAAAGGAATACTTGAGTTCTGATTCTTCGTGCCAAGCAGATGCAGATGTAGGTGTTGATGGCGATTGGATAACAGTTGAGTTCTTGAACGAAATCAAATGTTCGGGAATCCCAAACCACAGAATAGTCTTGAAAAAGGGGGTACCGATTATGCTATCGAGGAACATTGACCAAACATCTGGATTGTGTAATGGGACAATAATGTTATCGCTGCAATTGTGGTTTCGGGAAATCGAGTTGGTAAAAAAGTTTACATCCCTAGAATGAATTTGATACCATCTGATCCAGGCCTACCCTTGAAGTTCCAAAGAAGACAATTCCCCATCGCGTTATGTTTTGCTATGACTATCAACAAAAGTCAAGGTCAAACATTGTCATTTGTGGGATTATTTTTAACCAAGTCGGTGTTCACACATGGTCAACTATATGTTGCTGTTTCACGAGTGAGGACAAAGATAGGATTAAAAATATTGGTTCTAGATGACAATGGAAACCCTTGCAACCATACCAAAAATGTTGTATACCCTGAGGTTTTTCAGAAAATTTGGTATTAAAATAAACATTGTTATCACCATATTCTATTCCTAAAATTTTATTTATTTTACTTTTGCTTTTTTCCATCTGTAGCATTAAAAATTATTTGCACAATAAATTTTCTTTTTACTGAAAAATAAAATAAATTGAAAAATAAGTTGAGAATCGACAAAAAATTTGTTCGACCCCGTGCGTGGCACAGGTCAGAATACTAGTAATTTGATAATGGACACAATTTGGGGTACGAGAATCTCCATATATACAATGGTAGGAGGCCAAAATGAACAGTGTTCCCGCCTAAAGTTATTGGGCCGGGTATGGGCTAATTGGGCTGACTTATATGGTGGGCCTGAATTCGGATATTGGACAGCATATGGGTGGCGCCAGGCTTTTTAAAAATGCTAGCTTTAACATAGGGCGGCTGTTTTGCATAGGGCGGCGTAATGATGAAAAAAATTGGGGAGTGTGAGCACTGTATTTACACGGCTGAAAAGCACTTTTTAGGAGCCCAATTTCCTGATGGTCATTTAATGCAATGGATTTGAAAAAATCTTATGGTACATTCGCATTAAATGCAAGAGATTCTCTCACCTATCCAAGAACATTATTTAACGGAAGTTTAAGGGCCAAATTATCCATCACCCACAAAACTTCCATACCAACATGAATACCATTATGTCCAAAAAGCCTTTAAACGAAATGTGGCACATGCTTGACAGAATTGATAACAAAAAAACGGCATGGATGCTTAAGTTACGAGCAATCCGCGTTTACCATGTTCCGGCTTGGTCTAAGGGCGGAGATTCCATGGAAGTCATCTTCCACGACGAACGCATAATTTCTTAGTATACTTGCTTACACAATATTTTCGTTCTTTGAAACTCATTTCTAAATATTTTCTTTTTTTATGCAGGGGACGAGGATTCATGCTCAACTTAAGAGTCTCGAAAAGAAACGTTTTGAAAACCAAACTGTTGAAGATGGCGTCTTTGGAATCCGAAATGTTTTTGTTCATGATAATTACCTTTCATGCAAAACAACTTCGCATAAACCTTTGTTGGTTTTTTATCCAAAAACAGAAGTCAAGACGCTTAGTGAAAAAGATTTTCCCAAATTCAAGTTCGATTTGAAATCATTTTCGGACCTTCAATCTCAATCCTGTTTGAACGACCAACTTCTCATCGGTATAAAAAAACTAATTAATTTTCTTCCGCAAATTCTGCATTCAATGTTTTTACCTTCACTTTCCGCAATATCTGTTTTCTATCCTTAACATTTGTGCATTTAAATTTTTCATTCAAAAGAAATTTTTTGAATTATTTTTATTTTGAAATTTGTGCATTCAAATAAAAAAATATATTTTTCGCACTTTCTGCTTAGAAATAAACATTTGTGCATTTTAAAAATGCATTCAAAACATTTTTTTGAAGATATTTTCCATTAGCAAATTTGCAGTCAAATAAAAATTTTGATTAAATTTTCCGGCCGGTGCAGATGTGATAGGAAAAATTGTTGGGCGATCAAAAGTTCAAACACACTTTAAACGAGGTGGAGAAGAGAAGTTAATGGAAATAACACTTGAAGACCATGAGTATGAGCACATATTTATAAATGACACATAAGACCTATTTCTTAACAAAATATTAAGTAAATGAATAAATGCAGAGGCAACCGTTTGGCTTGCACGTTATGGGGCGAGTATGTGGAGAAATTCTTGAATTATTTGACCCAAGGTGTTCCGGGACCTTTTATCTTAATTCTTAGCTTCTGTCGGCCTAAGCGACACCAGGGTAACACTTAATATTTTCCTCAATATTCATCAATTTCTGTTTCATTGTTAATGATGTTTAATAATATTTTTCGGACTAATTTAAATAATTTGACAGGTTCGGTCACTGTTTCAACTTCTTTTCATGTCACAAAGATGATTTTCGTTGGAAACTCTGATGAAGTTAATCATTTCCGATCTAGGTACCATACGAAACTGCCCTCTATAGTATTTATGACTTTACTTTGTTTTTTAAAATTCTAATTAAAGAATTTTGATGATGTGAGTAGCATGAATAGTTTGATGATGGATGGTGGAAATGAAGATGTGAATGAGCCTCTGAAAATCACCCCTTTGGAGACTCTGATTGATACAACTAAGGATAAATTTTATGGATTAAATCATTTATATTAAGCATGGTACTATCTTAGATGCATGATTGTCGAAATACAAACTTAAATTTTTTAAAATGATTTTTACTATTTAAATAAACAACCCGGGACATATTGGATTCTCGGTGAGATTTCATATCTTGAGAATACACCTGATTGGTGTTACCTGGGGTGCACCGAATGCAACAAGAAGGTTATACCTGACGGTTTCCATTTTACATGTTTGGGATGTGATCTTAGGATGCCACATGGGGTTTACAAGTAAGTTATACTCCGTACTTACTAATTCTACAACTTATGAAGTAAATTTTATTAAAATATAATGCGATGGGAATGTAATATTTCTGCGGTTTAACAGATAGGTTTAAGGTTAATGTGCACGTTATTGACATCACCGGTCATGTGATACGGTATCGTATCGGGATAGGGAAGGATTTTGAGCACCTTCGAGCTCCAAGGACAAAAGAGGCGAGAAAGAGAGAGATTATGGTTAAGGAGAAAGTATTTTCTTTATTCATTGATTGACAAAACTATGGTGATGGATACATTTATAGGCTCCAACTCTAGAGAATCTCAATAATAAATGGTAACTAAATAATTAATAATCCTAATTATAAAAGGTAACTAAATAAACTAGGAAAATAATTAATCACCTAACAAATACTCCGTATAATATTTCCTAATAATAGTTAACTAACTATAAATAATTCCTTACCATAATAATAATAATAATAATAATAATAATAATAATAATAATAAGTCCTGTAACACTCTCCCCGCCTCGAAAACCAACTTGTCCTCAAGTTGGAAATCTAGAAAAAACAAGAAATCATGTGTTGTGAACGGACATCCTACAGGGTCAAAGACCTTAATGAATGGAGCAGCAAAAGAATCCGTCAAGCTCAAAGCATTCACAACTCCAAGTAAACAACTCCATAGAACCAATAAGAAGAAAATCTTGCCAGCACGCGTGACATCCCCTAAATCATAAAGGACAACAACGTCACTTTCTAAAGTCCCAATGGTTTTCGTGCATCCATAAAAAATGACATAATCTCTAGAATATTCGGCTTGGACAGTGTGGTCTCGTTGATCGTCAGTAGAAACATTAATAACAATATCAGTAACGGTAACAGAAACAACATTTATGGGATCAATAATTAGATCATCACCGGGAACACTAACATGATCAATAAAAGTTTCCTTTTCAAATTCCTGGTCCTGCAAAGTTGTGTTCTGCACAGGTACCGTAGGGGCCGAATCTCGTGGAGTGCTGATGAGTTTCTTAATAGAGCGCATCATGGTTGTTTTGAAAATGTATAACTCTATAGGAATCAGGCTTGGCATAATTGGGAGACCACGAACTAAATCTTGTATTGAGCAAAAGGCCTCTACGGAGAACGCATATACCTCGGAATCAAATTTTGGTTGACCTTCAATTGGACGGAATGCTTGAAGTTTCTTTATAATTTCATCCACACAATCTTCAACTGCACACACTCCTTCATAAAATTCAATTTGTCCTTGTAGAACTTTCTCGAGTAAACCAAGAATTTTGTCTAACTCATCGTTCATCATTGTTAGAAAGTTTACCTCGTGTATGCTAGACATGTTGCCGCCCCTAGAATTTGCAGCAATTTGGCAGGCCCAAAATTGGTCAATCAACAACTTTTTTGTGCCCCAAGCAGATTGTTGCTATAGGGATTTTTTTGTTTTGAAGTGTAGATGCTTGATCTCAAATAAACATGCAATATGGAATCACAATGATTAGTAGAACTCCAAACCTCAATACTTTGGATCTGCAGCAATCGTTGGAAGGATCAAGATTGGTAGATTCGGAATTGATATTTGTGGCCGATTTTTTTTGTATAATTTTGTTTGAATGAGTTCAAGAATGAGAGCACCAATTGATACGGTATCGTATCGGGATTGGGAAGGATTTCAATCACCTTCGAGCTCCAAGAACAAAAGAGGCGAGAAAGAGAGAGATTATGGTTAAGGAGAAAGTATTTTCTTTATTCATTGATTGACAAAACTATGGTGATGGATACATTTATAGGCTCCAACTCTAGAGAATCTCAATAATAAATGGTAACTAAATAATTAATAATCCTAATTATAAAAGGTAACTAAATAAACTAGGAAACTAATTAATCACCTAACAAATATAATATTTCCTAATAATAGTTAACTAACTAGAAATAATTCCTTACCATAATAATAATAATAATAATAATAATAATAATAATAATAATAATAATAATAATAATAATAATAATAATAATAATAATAATAATAATAAGTCCTGTAACATCATGCCTCCTTTATGCTTTGGGACCGAGACTGCAAAGACATTTTAGGTGGGAGTGCCCTTCTTCTTAGGGAGATGATGCTTGAGGTATCATAAATTTTCATTCTACATGTTTTTTAAAATGTAGAGAAAAAAGTACATTTTGTAACGAATAACTCTACATCTAATGATTTCATAGAAACATGGACCCAAATTTGTTCCCGGAAAAGTTGAACCATTTAATTGGGCGAAAAGGTTTGTTTAATGTTGTTGTCAAGTCCGAGGGGGGTAGTCCTCATTGGAACGGTCCCAGGTCTTTTGGGGTGCGGACTTTCGTTTCGGATCCAAGAATTCTCAAGAAGTATGAACATGTTTTGGACATTGTTGATGATGACTCAAAGGATGATGTTGATTTGTGGAATTCTCTTGAAAATCTTAGTCAAAAAGTTGAAACAGTGGTATTGAATTTTAACCTTATTAAACACTTCTAGATTCATAATTCGGTATCTCAAAAACACTCTAATCTCACACTAACATTTTATTTTCCTAAGATTGGATCAAACAACCCAAGTTCTAGCCAAGGCGAGGCGACTTCACGGAGGAAGATGGATGCTATTGATGGGAATGATCCGGTTAAGAGACAACTGCTTGACGAGCTCTCAACTACAACTTGCAAGAAGAAGGTGAAAAGGGAGCGTTTGGAAGAACGAAGGATTGGAAAACTGTACTGATTCAAACCCATGAGGAAGAACATGATTTCGTTTTTTGTCTTTTTTTGCACATTCCTGGACTTTGTCCAGTTATCCTATGGGGTTTAGACAATTTCTAAAATATTTGTGGCATATCCAGTTTTTAATCTGGATATTATGTTATGTTGTTTTTAATATTTTGCTATAATGGGGTATTTCCAGATGTTCAACTGGATATTTTCCTATATGTGCTTCAATCGAAAATTAAGATATTTGTTGTGTTTTGAATAAGAATGCCTATTTATGTACGAAAACTTATGCTTCTTGAAATCCTTTAAACTTCCATGAAAGAAAATTAACATATGTTTGGGTGAAAATTTGTTTTTATGGTAAACAAACGTAGAGAGTTGAAAATAACTTATGTGGAAGAAGGCTAAAAACTTTCTATAATTTGTAATTGTACTTTGTAAAATTCTATATAATTTTTAACAGTTTCTATATTTAACCCTATTTAAAATATACTAACCCTTTATGTATAAAATGAATTATAATCTCTAAAATAAATACAATTTTTAACAGTTTCTATATTTAACCCTATTAAAAATATACTAACCCTTTCAATATAAAATGAATTATAATCTCTAAAATAAATTAAACATGTATGTTTTTTAAGGGTAAAGTTTAGAACGAGTTTTTTTTAAAGATAAACAGTTGTGAAATGCATTAATAGCCTACCTCCACCATTCGTTCGATACTCATATTAATACCTCCAAGTACCTTTCAATCAGGAAAAATTTTTATAAAAAATTATATAATTATAATATATTGATTATCTTATTATTCAATATATAATTTATGATTTAAATTTAATATATAAATATAAACATAATATTTAGAAATATTAATTTACTAAAAAAAATCTCATAAAAATAAAGCATTTAATAAAATAAAGTATTTAAAATGGCTACTGGATTTCACAACAACCGTAGCCTACAATTTAATACTCATTTAGACTTATTGGGAATAGACATGGGGAACTAACGGCTGCTGGATTAGACATGCACGCAACTCAAACGGCAGCTGGATCACACAATATGTAACCTACCATTTAATACTCTTTTAATACGGTTGAGAATAGACATGGGGAACAAAGCATTTAATGCATACACGGATCTCAAACGGCTGCTGGAAATTACATTGGGTAACCAACAATTTAATACGTTACTAATACCGAAGAAAGCGTGGGAAACAGAGCATTAAATACATTTCACTGTGTAAGACGGCTATACCTTTACTTAAGGGGTACTGATCCATAAACTATTCCCTACTACCATATAAAATATAAATTTTAAAATAATAAAGTAAAATGTTTTTTATTATTCTGTGGGTTTAATAAAAAAAAGATTTGGATAAATTTTAATATAATAAAAATTCAAATTTTTTATTATAAAAAGTATTTAATACATTTAATTTTTTTGTAGATTGTCAATGTGGTTGATTGTATTTAGTATTTAATACATTTAATTTTTTTGCTTACTTATCTCCCAACCTCTCAACCTATTCCTTACCACAATAAATTGCAAACAACTACACCACCAACCGCATTCAATACACTCTTATTGAAGATAATCAACTTTCAAGTCTTCTTTTTCAAAGTGAGAAAACACTTTTTATTCAATTCTCATTATTAATATACCAAATTATAAATATTCTATAACACCTCACTATTCTGTTTTGAATATTTATTGCGAAAATGGAAATATACTGTTAAAAATTAAAAACTTATTTTCATTCTCTGTTACAAATAGTTTGAAATGAGAAAGCTCACAAAATATACCAGGAAATCTGTGAAGACATAGTTGGTTGAAATGAGAAAGCTCACAAAAAGTGCAACAATCAGTTCCAAGAGTGTGAAGGATGATGAATCAGATAAAGGTATGATACATAAATAAATTAAATTGGGTATTGAAGTGAACTTTATTAAATGTTTGATGACGTAAAAACAATTATATGCAAGGGTAAAAATATATTAAAATCGATATAGAAAACAATTAAGGTCCAAGAATGAATAATTAAAAAAATAATTTTACCCATTCATAATCAGACTCATACTCATTGGATAAACATATTATGTAAAAAAGAGGTAATTAATATATAAAATATAAAGTTTTGATACCTGTATATTTTGATTCCTTGATAGATTTCCTCGAAATAATCAACCGTGGAAGAATGACTTTCAAATGTGCAATTAAACCCTTACATGTTCAAACATAATACTTGAACATGTCCAAAAAGGTTTAATAACTTTATATACGTTTTGATGTACACTCCCATATATCAGCTCAAAAAATAAAATTAGAATTACGTTTTATTCAAAGCAATTGATCTGAAAATTAAATGTATACTTTATAAACAAATATACAACTTATAAATAATGTCAGACATATAATTTCTTAAAATAATTTTGACAGAAGGGTTTATTCAGTTGTAATTCCAAAAGATACAGAGATTTTATTTTATTCACTAAAAATTTTTAATTTGTTGTTAAATATTAACATTTCCACCAATTATAATCCCATACTAATCGATTTCATTAGTAACACCAATATTTAAAAAAATTTACTTTCTTATTGAGCAATTGATGTTACAAAATTTCAAAGCAAAACTAAATTGGAATTACGAACTGGGAATAATATTTTGTAATCACCTAGATTTCAAAGGTAATACATATTTTCTTTTATAAATTATATTCATATTCAAATTGGTTTTTAATAATTAACATGCAGTGCTCTTTAAAAGTATATCTAATTTATTCAATTAATTTGAACTTATGAAGAATTATTAAAAATAATTGAAACTGGAATCAAATCAATTCGATCTATAAAAAAAATCAAAACCTGATGCATGACTGTTTTAGATTAGATCTAATCATTTTCATTAATTTGAACTCATAAAAAATAATAAAACAATTTCAATATATTTAGAAATTTACGGATCTACAAAAACTTCATTACTTGATTTAAACGGGAGTGTGAAATACCAAAAAACAGATCTATATGGGAAAATGTCCGCATGAATACAAGTGATTGCACGGATGAATTCCCTAGGAAGATATACACCATATCTCAATCTGATGAGCTCTCGAACCTCTCTCCCTCTCTTTATCTCTCAATCTCTCCACATATCTAATAGGTTTTTTCTGGCCTAAGGCCTGAAACACACACGCTCTCTCACACACACTCTCTCGCTCTCTCTATCTTACCATCTCTCTCGCTCTCGATCGATCTCTCTACATCCATCGCCGGTTAGGTCTGGATCAACAATAGGTTAGAGAGGGGATAAGGCAGAAACAAGCGGCGGAAATATGTGGTCCGCTGGATACGACGGTCAACTTAACTCAAATACGGAGTATTAAATTTTGGGTTGCGTTAATTGGGTCAGTAAGTTTTCAAAAATTGATTTTCTGGGTCTGTTATTATTATTATATGGGCCGATTTTACAAACAAAAAATATTGATGATAAAAATTATATTCTATAAATTCATATTAAAAGTGAACGGAATAAAATTTTAGAACTGTATTTTTTTCACAATTTAAGCAGGAATTGGATGTTGGTTGCGTGCATGTTACAAGTACAAAAGTAATCGAGACTCAGATTTTATGGAATCGTGTTGGAAATGCTTTACCGTACGTGGTCATCTTTCGTGCTTGCAAATTGGGGACGTTGGATGGGGATTGTTTTTTGTTTGTGATGATTGTGTGAGACTACCACCACCAATAACGACACGACCTAGACGCCGACAATCTAAGCGAGTTAAAACTCCAAACAAGAAATATTTCAACGATCTTTATGGTCTTCATTAAATAACTTATATATTATGTTGTCGTCGTTGCGTTCTTCATTAAATATGTTAGATGTTATGCTTTAATTTGTAACATTTTGAAACATTCCGTTAATGTCATGTATCTGAATCAATTTAATTATGGATGGATTTTGTTTTAATTGTATCGAATGCTTTTTATGATTACGATGATAATAATTGTTTTGTTATGAGATTCCAAGATTGCATGACACTACTTATGATTAACATATCGTTCTATAAGCCTACCAAGTTAATAATTTTTTTAAAAAAACTTGAAGTATAACATCTAAGTTAGTATTCTTTGAGTATCACAATTTTCTTTTGAAATTTCATAATTTTAAATATATAAAGATAAATACGCTTAGGATATATAGTCACTCGATGGCTCTTTATTATTAAATGTGATATTGAAGATCATTATTTCTATATTGATTCATTTAAATTGTAACATATCACTATAATGTTTGGATAGAAAATGGGAGATCCAATGTTTCAAAAGATAAATCCAATTCTAAGAGTTTTGGTGATACTAACTTGAGGAGAAAGTGTGTCTTGCAATGTGAACCATTAAAAAATTCATCAAATCCTGATACGTGTACTGCTTCTCCATTGTCAAACTTAACAAACGGTATGTCCATTCTATTAATATATGTATATATACAAACACACACACACACACATATGTATATATATATACATATGTATGTATTGAAATTCTTGGTTTGTATTTCATTCATTATTTGTATTCCATTAACTCATGCCAATTCATCATTGCTAAATTCAACAATCCGAGACACATCTCTACTAAAGAGTTGTGTTACACAGGACAACGTTGGTAGGAAAAAAAATCTTTATGGTGAAGGTGCATTTCAAGTTTATTATTAAATCTCACCTTCATATATATGTTTTTTTATTTATTTTTCTATATATAATATACTCAATGAATTCTTTACCCATTATTCTTTAAACAACAAACAGTGAACGAAGACAATAATTCCTCTATGAATCTTGATCCACTCATCGGCGTATTTATCACCCAAACTTGGGGTGTAGATGCTAATATTCGTACAGAAGATCATCACCAGGCTGATGCAGATGTTGTTAGAGATTTGGAAATGGATTTCATCGATGCCGAGGATTTTACCCCTAATCATCGAGTAAATGTTTCCCAGAGAAACCTTTTACACAACGTCGATTATTGGGACGTTGGTGATTGCCTTTATAGTTGTAAAAACTGTAAAGCTTTTTTTTTTGCTAGAAGAATGACTTATTAGTCAATCATCTAAGAAGAACCCAAAATATTCGCTGTGTTGCAAACAAGGAAAGATCAAACTAGCCCCTATCAAGCAACCACTAATGCCTCTAAAGGATTTGCTTATCGGGACAGATGTTGAGAGTAAGCACTTACAGACTAATATTCGCTCTTATAACTGCATGTTCTCTTTCACATCTCTGGGTGGCAAGATTATTAGAGATTATACCCCGGGTAGAGGTCCACCAACATTTAAGCTTGGAGGGCAAAATTTTCATCAGATTGGCAGTTTGGTACCCCGAGATGAGATAGTCCCTAAATTTGCTCAACTCTACATTTACGACACGCAAAATGAAGATTTCAATAGAATCCACTCTGTGAGGTATGTACTAACATTATCTTACTTAACATTATAGTGACGTTAAGTTAGAACACTTCATCGTTCAAAATCCCCGGCATATGCCTACATTATTAAATTTTAATAACTACATATGTCATTTATATAGAGGAAAGAAGACAATGTCCACTCATTACATATCGAGATTGTTGCTAACATTAGGGAAATGTTGGATACTCACAATGTCTTGGTAAAGTCATTTCAAATGATTGGAGAGAAAATAAGCCAAGATTTGGAATTCAATCTCACTTTGAAGCTAATTGGAAAGAGGACTTCTGATCCAAGATTGTACAATTTACCATCAGTTGGTGAGGTAGTAGCTTTAGTGGTTGGCGATTTGGATCAAGCTTTGGGTGAGAGGGATATTTTGGTTGAAAGAAATCATGGACCATTGAAAAGGATTAGCGAATTAAATCCGGCTTATTTGAGTCTACAATATCCCTTATTATTTCCATACGGAGATGATGGTTATCGCAAAGATATACCCTTTGTTGAGAATAATTTATTGAATGTCGGAGGAAGCAGGAGTGTGAGCATTCGAGAATTTCTTTCATATCGTTTACATGAAAGGGATGAAGAAAGTTCTTCCATTTTACATTCACGTCGTTTATTTCAAGAGTTGTGTGTTGATGGATATACGATGGTCGAGTCATCAAGATTGACGTATATTAGCAAGCATCAAAAGAAACTTCGATGTGAGATGTATAATAGATTCTCAGATTCCTTGCTAAATGGTGACAATGACACAATGACAAAAGGGAAAAGAATTGTTGTTCCCGCAACGTTTTTCAGAGGCGCACGTTACATGATCCAGAGCTATCAAGATGCCATGGATGTAGGTGGACAGGGTATCCAGATCTGTTTCTTACATTCACGTGTAATCTGAAATGGCCGGAAATAGATCGCTTTCTGCGTAGTCGTAATTTAATGCCAGAAGATCGTCCTGACATTGCTTCTAGAATATTTAACATCAAACTCAACGGATTGATTCGAGATTTGAAGAAGAATGAAATATTTGGGAAAATTAGAGCAAGTAAGTGTTGATTACGAGCCTTCATGACTATACAAGTTCTATTACGTCATTTCAATCTGCTTTCCAAAATTAAAAATAGTAATAAATTATTTTTTTGGTTGCAGTTGTTTACACTGTGGAATTCCAGAAACGTGGTTTACCGCATGCGCACATATTATTGTTTTTGGGACAGGCAGATAAATTTCCAACGCCTAAAGATATTGATGGAATCATTTCTACAGAGTTGCCTGATGAAGGGAGTGATCCAAAATACTTCAATGCAGTTCGTGATTTTATGATTCATGGTCCATGTGGTACTCTCGGACCAAATTCTCCTTGCATGAAAGAAGGAAAGTGTTCTAAATATTTTCCTAAATTATTCAACAAGGAGACCATCATTGATGAGGATGGATATCCAAAATATAGGAGAAGAAATGATGGACGAACGATATTGAAGAATGGTGTTCAGTTGGACAATAGGTTTGTAGTGCCTCATAATAGATATCTCTTGCTTAAGTATGGGGCCCATTTAAATGTAGAATGGTGCAATCAATTGTGTTCTATAAAATACTTATTCAAGTACATAAACAAAGGGCATGATCGCGTCACTGCTGGATTTTATGCAAGCACAGGAACGTCTGCTTCATCAAGTGCCGAAACGCCAAACGAAATTAAAATGTATTACGATTGCCGATATATTTCTCCGTGTGAGGCAACGTGGCGAATATTTGGATTCTCGATTCAATATAAATGTCCCAGCATTGAACGCTTAAGCTTTCACTTACCAGGTGAGCAATGGATATTTTTTGAAGACGATGATGATGCAAGTGATGTCTACACTCAAGAAAGCATACGGGAGAGTAAATTTCTTGCATGGATGAAAGCGAATGAAAAATATCCTTTGGAAAAGACTTTAACTTATCCTGAGTTTCCTCAAAAGTTTGTTTGGAAGGCTGGTAAGAGAGAGTACGAACCTCGATTAAAAGGTTTTGCTATAGGGCGTGTTATCTATGTTCCTCCAGGTTCTGGAGAATCTTATTACATGAGAATTTTATTGAACATAGTCCGGGGCCCTACATCATACGAAGATCTAAAAACTGTCAATGGTGTTGTTCACAACACTTATCGCGATGCATGTTATGCTATAGAATTGCTAGATGATGATAGGGAGTACATCGATGGATTCAAAGAAGCAAGTCAGTGGTGTTCGGCAAATCAATTGAGGTTTTTATTCATAACACTCCTCACAAACGAATCAATGTCTAGACCAAAACATGTTTGGGAACAATGTTGGGAATTCATGGCCGCTGATATACTACATCGCCAACGTTGTCTTCTAAGTCATCAAGGTACTATTTAACTATATTTATATGTTTTGTACATAAAACCATTTTTCATATTTACTTTTCTCTTTAATGTGTAGGTTTGACCTTAACCGAGGATCAAATCAAGAATAATGCCTTGATTGAAATTCAAATGTTGCTTATAATGCGTGGCAAAAGTCTGCGAGACTTCGATGATATGCCTTTCCCCAATTTAGACAACGCGTCTACTACCCGCAACCGACTAATCCTTGACGAACTTCAATACGACCTTAACGCGTCTACTAATCAACCGACATTGTTTGACATTGTTGAATAGCGAACAGCGTACAGCTTATGAAAGTGTAATGTCTTCTGTCGACTTGGACGAGGGGAAAGTTTTTTTCTTATATGGATATGGTGGAACTCGAAAGACATTTGTTTGGAAAACATTGTCTGCTTCTCTTCGATCCAAAGGAGATATTGTATTAAATGTTGCATCAAGTGGTATCGCTTCATTGTTGTTACCCGGTGGAAGAACTGCACACTCACGATTTGGAATACCCATCAATCCTCATGAAAATTCCACCTGCAATATAAAACAAGGAACACCGTTGGCTGATTTATTGGTTAGAACAAAGCTAATAATTTGGGACGAGGCACCAATGACACATAAGTATTGTTTCGAAGCTCTAGATAGAAGTCTGCGCGATGTAATGTCTGTTGTTAATGCATCGAATGCTGATCGTCCATTTGGAGGGAAAACCATTGTGTTTGGTGGAGATTTTCGGAAAATTCTACCCGTCATTCCTAAAGGGAGAAGACAAGACATTGTCAATGCGGCCATTAACTCATCATATCTATGGAACCATTGCACGGTGTTACGATTGACAAAAAACATGTGCTTGCAACAAATGTCTCGTGATAAGAATTACGAGAGCATGTCAGAATTTGGGGAGTGGATGGCAAAGATCGGTGATGGCACGGCTGGAGATGAAAATGACGGATCAAGTGAAATTATTATCCCTGACGATATGTTGTTAAAAAGCACGGATGATCCTATAGGAACTATAGTTCATTCAACGTATCCAGACTTCCACAATATCGTAAATGATCCAACATATTTGCAAAATCGGGCCATTCTTGCACCAACTCTAGACGTTGTGGATGAAATCAATGACTGCATGACATCATTGAACAACGTTGGAGAAGCAAAAAGCTACTTTAGCTCTGATACAGTGTGTAAATCTGATTCAAATGCAGATTTTTTTGTCATATTTGCATTCTCTGGAATTCTTGAACAACATACGAGCATCTGGTGTCCCAAATCATCAACTGATGTTGAAGGTTGGAACACCCATTATGTTGTTGAGAAATATTGATCAATCATCCGGTCTTTGCAATGGAACAAGGTTGATAGTAACTCGACTTGGCAATCACCTTATTTAGGGCACGGTTATGACAGGAAAAAATGTCGGCAAAGAAGTTGTTATTCCACGGTTATCTCTCACCCCGTCAGATGCAAGAATTCCTTTTAGGTTTCAAAGGAAACAATTCCCAATCATGACTTCGTATGCTATGACAATTAACAAAAGCCAAGGCCAATCTTTGTCCCATGTTGGATTGCTATTGAAGAAACCGGTATTCAGCCACGGTCAACTCTATGTTGCAATTTCACGTGTTACAAGTCGCGAGGGGTTAAAGATCTTGATTTGGAATAAAGACCTTCCATCAACAAACATAACTACAAACGTAGTTTATAAAGAAGTGTTCCAAAACTTATAACACTGTATATCGACTACGGTCGTTCCTGTACATTACCTTATATTGGGTATTTTAAATATAATTTGTTATCTTTTAATTTTTGTATCATTTCTTTTTCATTTCATGACTAAATATAATTAATTTTTCCGCTCGTACATCGCACAGGTACGAGTCTAGTTGTGTCTAAAATAATTAGATATGCAAAACTAAGTTATTAAGTACGAAATAAAGTATTATGTTAACAAATTAAAAAACTTAATTACGTATAAGAATCATTATCAAAATAAAAAATTTTAAGAATAATTTTAACAAAAAATGTTTTATTGGAACCAAAAAACAAAACTTGCATATTTTAAAGAGACTAAAAACATATTTGACCCAATATTTCAAGTGTATATATATAAATCAATGTGGCTTTTATAATTTGTCTATAGCATAGTTGGTACTTATGCTTTGTGATGGACTTTGGGATATTTTGATAGTATTTCAAATTTCTAATTCTTTATCATAATTCATACAACATGCTTATAGAACTTTGTAATTGAATTTCTTAAATATTTTGTTCATTTTGTAAATGAAAGTGTAACTTAGGCAAGGCGTCAAATATGCCAAATAATTTGGTAACAATAACATTTCATAATTTTTCTTATATTAAAAACAAGAGCAAATTAGAAATGTTGGTTGAACAGATAATGAATATCTATAATTATTTAAACACAAACACTTCTTTGTCTTCGCCGCCATGCTCCACATCTCTTCGTAAATGACATCAATGCTTCTAAAAGTTTTCTATATTCACATCGGTGCTCTCAGATTGATGTATGTACATTAGTGCCCCAACATTTGGAGCATAGAAGTAAACAAATATCAATTCTCTGAACAACAATGTGAACATAGGAAAATTGTGGGAGCATTGGTGTCATGTAACGAATCTAGGAGTATTTATGTAAATTCTTGCAATTCTGGGAGTATTAGTGTGAATTGTTCCTATATAAACCCTGAATGTCTTCATTTACAAAATGGCATAAGTGCAATGGAATGGCCAAATTTGAACAGCATAAAACTCATTCTACAGTTTGCCGCGGGAAGACATCAAATGACACATATACGCTAATTTAATCACCAACAAGTGCCCGGGGTCGGTGCTCCAAGGTAAATAGGGACATACCCGTCTGGGAAACAGCTCTTACAAAAGCCATGTTCGCAGTCATGGTAGGAGCACGCCAGTGATCACCAGTGCCGAACGCCACTTTGTTTTTCAAGGCCAGCTTTCTGGTTGTTGGAAGGCTACTCATGCGCGCCGATGGGCAGTCAGGAACAATCCTGGACGCAATAAAAAACAACTTGTCACCAAATCTACAAACTCATACTGTTTTCATTTTCTTTAAGTTTCGGGCGAAGAAGACAAGTTAGACTCAACGTTTCTGATTTGCTTTCCAGATCTACACCCACATCTAAAACTTTCTTTTTCTTTCCGATTTTGAAGCTGAGTATAGAAGAGAGGGATAAGGTTGGTGCGATTGGTCCTGGAAGGGAAGGGAGAAGTAATGAGGGGCAATTTTGACATTTCCATCTATTATTCCCTTCACTTTGGTTTTTGTTCCAAAAAGAAGCCGGACAAATACTCCTGGACGAAACATTTAACTCGTCTAAAACTAGTGATGTGAGTACTTAAATGATTAACTATAAAAGAGCATTAAAACAAGGTCAAGAAACCAAGGAAAAGTAACTAGAACCAATCAGATGAGAACAGGAATAAACTTTTTACTAGTACCTTAAACTAAATTTGCAAAATTTTCAGGTTTGTTCAGAATGTAGAGTTCTAAGTTCTAACTATTCTTAAATGAAAAATTCTTTAACTTTGGCCTTCAGCACCCACACAATTTAAACAAAACAAACAGTGGTTAGAAGCATTTATTCATTTCATATGTCCATTATGTTTTTCCTTTACACTATGTTTGGTTCAAGGAATTAGGAAGGAAAAGAAAAGGAAATTGTTTTCTCTCATTTTCCTCGCCAAAGTGGAGAAGAATTTTGTTCCCCCAGCTTTGTCCCTTCCACTTTTCTTTTCCTCTCTCATTTTCTTTACTTTTCCATTTCAAATTCCTTGAACCAAACATAGTGTTACCGTTAGTCCTATCTTTGAAATGATTTTTTACCTGCCCATTTAAACTAGATGCAATACAAAGAGGTAGTAAAATTAGCATTCAACTCACTTAAGTTTCTTCAAGAGATACTGAGCTCTTAACTTTTCTCTTGACCCGCCACACATCGATATTATCTCCTGAAATTCTGTGATAACACTCTCACAAACAATTCCTCTCCTTCCATGAATTACATTACCCATGTCCACATGGATTGGATTCCTCATTTCAGAGTCCACCTGTTGGGTATACAGACTAAAAACATTAAACCAAAAACTTGAGAAACCCAAAATTCCTGGGCATTTGTATCAAAGAAGATAGTGATTTTAGTGAAAGGGTGTGTTCTTTTCAACTCAATGTCAGTCTAGTTCAGTTCAATTTTTATCTTGTTAAGTTCAGTTCAGCACTTTTCACTTAGATTTATTACAACTAACTCTCAATTCGACCCCACACTTTTCTGTTCAATATTTTTAAGTTCTGTACTCCGTAAAACTTAGTGAAATAAACAAACCCAAAGAACTTTCCATCCAATCGCCATTGAGACTCAGGATTCAGGGGAGGGGATGGAAGGCAAGTGACCCAAGACTTTAGGACCATTAAGTCATTGAAACAACATAAAATATTCACAGGAATAGCACAATCCAGCTAGCAATTTAATATGTACAAAACTCAGTCAATTTACTTATCACAACATTTTGCCCAAGTCCTAATCCAACCAATTAAAAGAACCATAAGTTAAAAGGAGCACCTGCATACACCCGCAAGTATATATAAAAAAGATTCTTTAGGACTCCAACCTGATTCAACACAAAATCATAATTTCCTTTGAACCGAGCCCTCAAATCACTCTCCGGGGTATCTAGAATTTTCAGGGAAGCACCATTACTTATCCCGGACACAGCAGCAACAAGAGCCGTTGTATCAAAATTAACCAACTCGGCATCATCCTCAACATGACCAGTAGACCAACTCCTCATTCTGGACAGAAGAAAACTAAACGAATCCCCTAAATTCGCGGCACAATTTTTATCCATTTCCAAATCATCTAAGCTATCGCATTTTAGCTCCATCTTAGAATCTAAAACTTCCATGCCCGGATAAAAAGACTCTATCTTTATCTCCAAAAAACATGCCCTTTCGAAGGACCTGCAAAGCACCACAAGGACCCAATCTCCTTCCTCTTCTTCGAATTCATGTTGCAAAGAAGAGCAATCCCCAAATCCGGAAAACTCAACTGCCCCAAATTCATCCCGGACCATGTGAACAACATCATCTCTAAGCCCATTTGAAAAGGAAAGGATGACAGAAGAAGGCTTTACAGTCAAAGAGGAATTCCGGGCAGCAATCAGAACTTCCAGAATCCTACCTCTCAGTTCCTTGAAGTCGTTGTGCTTGGGATTTTTATCTGAGACGAGGATCCAAACGGGGTTCCCGTCGAAACAGCACACTACATCTACATACACAGTGCAATTGCCCCTCCCCCGATTCTGCCGAGGGGAAATTGGAATGGGTTTGCAGACCCGGGCGACGGCGGTGACGGATGGGTGGCGGAGAATGTGAAAGACTGCTTCGAGGTGGCCGATGTTGAGGCTGAGAGCGGCGGAGGAGGAGGAGGAAGGGTTAAGGCGGTTGAGGAAAGCGAGCTCGGAGTTGGCGAGGCATAAGAGGGTCGTCTTCCACGACGACGGAGGAGATTTTGACAAGGCTCCAACCCGATCTATGAGGACCCTGCATCTCCTCTTCGCCGCTTCCACGGCCGTGTCGCCGCATCGATCCATGCTCTGGAAAGCAGCATATCTATCTTCTGCAGAACTCAACTCCAAATAAAGACGGAGTAGAAAAACTCAAAAACAAAAGCATTTGGTAGGTCACAAAACAATTAGGCCCAGTTTGATATACCTAATTCAAACTATGAAATTGGAATTGGGGACTTTAATTCTAATTCTGGTGTTTGGTAGCACAAAAATTATGTAGATTTGGAATTGATAGTGCAAAAAATGAATTGGAATTGGCAGAATTCAATTCTATGGAATTGAATCCCATGAAATTTCAATTCCAATTCAATTTCAATTCCGTCAATTCCGTGTACTAAACAGACCCTTAAGCTATTTTTATCCAAAAAGTATATTCTACTTTGGCTGCGTTTCTTTGCCTGATTTGATTTGATCTGATTTTTTGAAGATATAATCTGATTTGGTCTTATCTGATCTGATTGTAGTTATAGTTAAAGTTGTTTCTGATCTGATTTGATCTGATATGATTATAATAAGAATAAGTAATAAGCAGAAAAAAATTGAACAAAATGCTGCTTTTATATCTCAAATGCATGCACAAATATTTTATACTAGTGTAATACTACCTCCGTCTCAGAGTATTTGTCCACTTTCATTTTTACACATCATCCAATACACTTCTTTAATCCATTTTATCTTGTAATTTGTATATTAAAAAATTACAGAAATTATATATTAATGATCTATATGTTAAGACAAATCAAACAATATCACACATGACCATATTTAGGCTTACACATTGAGAGAATTTGATGAGTCAAAGTGCTTAGATGAACAGTTCCAAAAATCAAAACTGGACGAATACTCCGGGACGGAGGAAGTAATTTATATTGATACAAAATATTACTACAATTTTTTTTGTTTGAACTAGTATTTTGTGCCAATATGAATCTTTAAAATGTTGTTGCATCTTTTTAGAGTACATTTCTTAGTGTACCACTAGCATGATTGTTCACAAAACTATATCCATCCTTTAGAATTTTGTGAACGGAATTGAAAATCTTTCTTCACAATTCTCCAACGCGGGACACGAACCCTCTCAGATGAGGTAAGGCATAGAAAGAATTAGAGTTGACTCGTTTTAGTCTTGTAAGTGCACTCACGAGTCAATTTAGTCCATGTAACTTCAATTTAGTCAAATTAGGCTCCGTTCCGTTCAACTTATTTTTTCTGATATGATCCGATTTTTTTAGTTCTGATCTGATTGAATCTGATCTGATTTGATTGGATCTGATCTGATATGGTCTAATCTAATCTAGTATGATCTGATTGGATCTGATCTAATTGAATCTAATCTGATTAATTATGATTTGATTTAAAATTAAAATAAATAATTTGATCTGACTTTATAATAACTTTTGAAAATTATAATGATAATTCATATTATAATATAATCAATATTTTTTATTGTATGATTATTTTTTAATGAAATAAAATTAGTTGATTCATATATTAGAATAATCATTCATATTATAATGTAATAATATTTTTTATTTTATGATTATTTTTTTATGTAATAAGAATATTGATTTAATATTTTAATGATTAGTTCATATATACATTAGAATAAATTTTTAATCCATATATACATTAAAAAGTAATTCAATTTAGATAATCAATATAGAGAAGGAATAATATTTTTATTAAAATATCTCATCCTTATAAGCAAAAACTAATATATTTTTCTGCATCTCGTATAATAATATATTACATGCTAGATGTTATTGACAAAAAAAGATTGTATGCTATAAATAATACATTGCATAAAATGTTACACACTCATATTCTCTTAAATCTCACTCATTGAATCCCAAATTTATAATGTAATGACATAATGTAATAATATTTTTTCATTCATATTTTATAATATAATAACTTTAAAAACTCAAATTACAGGTAGCAATAAAAATGTATTTTAAAAGTAGAATTAGATTGACATTGTCAATATATTTTAAAAATAATTTTTCCAACGTCTAATAATTAAGGATTACGTTCTCAATTTTTTATTTAACTTGTTTTAAAGTTTATTCTTTTTCATTTTTAAGAAAAAATTGTGCTTCATATCATTTTATTTTTCTCTACATAAATTATAATCGCACAAAAGTTTCATTTTCTTTCTTCTTATTTTTTTTCAAGAGAAATTAAATTTATTTTTTAAAAGAATCGTATCAAGTGAAACAAGTAAAAAGTGGGGAATTTAAAAAAGTATAGAGTAATAACGATAATGATAATGATAATCATGATAATAATAATAATTCTTAATAATAATAATAATTCTTTATTGGATCTGATCTGATTGGATATGACTGATTGGATCTTATCTGATTTGATTACATCTGATCTAATCTGATTAGATCTGATCTGATCTGATCTGATTTTAATAAGAATAAGAAAAAAGCAGAAAAAATAAATTGAACGGAACGGGGCCTTAGTCTTTTTAAATAGGAAATGTAAATCAAATTTGTTTTTTATGCAAAATTTATTTCTAAAATTAGAAATTAACAGGTCAATTGACACAAAGACTAATACAAGAGGTCAATTATCTTGCATCAATTAATGTCATAACTCAGAATTTTAGGAGATAAATTACATTCAAAGTACTAACTTGATTCACATTTTTTATACTCCGTATTTAGGAACTAATTTGATTCAAATGAAGTTACAGGGACTACATAAAATTATTAGTACACTTAGAGGGACCAAAATGAGTATTAACTCGAAAGAATTACAACAAGAATTTCATAGACAGGGCATGACACACATGTCATATTTAATAATTATAAAATAATAAACTATGAATACAATTATTCACCATGCATATAATCAAGTAAATCAACCATACATTCATATAGAAAGTATAATATACATACACCAGGAAAATCACGCTTACCTTTAACAATTCTAGAAAAATATACTACGGTAGTAAAATATATTCTAAAATTCATTAAATTAATTTGAATCATCCAAAAATTTAATAAGATGTTGTAAAGTCATTTTAAATAAATTTAAAGGCTTTCAGTTAGGGATAATACATGAATAAAAATTCCAAATAATACAGAATTACCAAAGAGCCTTTTTGGTTAAATTATTTTGAAAAATCAATTAAAATTCAAAATAATTTTAAAAAAATCATGAAAATTAAATTTAAACTTGAATTAACCGTTTTATACATATATATACTACTGAAAAAGAATTTACAGAATTTATAAATAATTATCTCTCAAATATATTAATTATATTTCAGTAATTATTAAAAAACATTAAAATCAATTTTTAAAAAATTCAAAATATAAAATTTATGGAGTAATATTTTTACTAACTTACTCACTTCATATTTCCAATATTATATATAGTCATTTGTGTAATTAAAATAAAATAACTATATATACCGAGTGGTTTATATATCCACAACCGAAAGTAAACTTCATTTTTAATTACCAACTACTTTTATTTTGTTTAATAAAATTATTAACAACTTTATTACATCTTGAATTAATATTTCCATAATTAATAAAATTCACTTGTGGGTCACTAATGTTTATTTAAGATTTGTTGAAATTTAATAAAAACAAATACAATAAACTCAAAATCGGAAATAAACAATTTTAAAAATTACAATATATATTTATTGAACATGAAAAATAAATTTTAACAGCAAAATAGATGTGTGTGTGTGTGTGTGTGTATGTATGTATATATTATAAAATATTATATATATATATATATATATATATATATATATATTATAAAATATATTAATATATTTAAGCCAATTTACAAAATTAACAAATAATTATGAAGTTAAATTAAAGTATAATTTTGTATGTTGGCTTCCATTCCATTGAAAGAAAACCATTCTAGAAGAGGCAGTGGAAATACAAAGTTTTTAATACTCCAAGCATGATTATCATCCTAAGATCATGTACTAAAACTATATATAGCTAGAGATAGATATTATCCCTTCTATGGAAAGTGGTTTTGACGTAGATTCGTTGGTGAGAGTAGACAAAGCAAACATAACTTTTCAAATGTTTGGTCTCTAACTTTGACACACAAACAACTTTCGGAGCCTGTCATAAAATATATGCTAGTATATTTTATGATAATATAAAACATAAAGATTCAAGAGGGATAACTTCAATGGTGTATATTAACATGTAGAAATTAAAATATTAACAATAATATTTAGAAAGTATTATTCTAATGCCACGACCCAATTATTTAAATTTTATTCGAATATCTTGTTGGAAATTGTTGGAAATTTTAAGTAAATTGGACATTTTTTCGGACATAAATTCGGTAGGGTCCAGAAAATTATTTTTCGAAATAATTATGGGTGTTTAATCTCGTAAGTGAAATAAGTGTTTCGTCACATTACACGCCAAAAATAGTGCTTGGGTGAATGAGAAATTAATTCACAAAGTCGAACACATGAGAGCAGTAAAAGTCCTTGTCCCACACAGGATTTTGAACCTTTCACATTCTCATATTTAAACTTGAGCACTTAATTGAGCTTATGAAAGGAACAAGAAGAGGACTCCTCGCCGCCGCCGCCGCCGTCCGTCCGGCTCGGCACGACACACGCGGATCTGGTCGGGTCGGGGCGGGGCGGGGCAGGGCGAGGCGCGTCGTGCCCGCGTGTGCGGCGTGGCGGGGCTAGCTTTTTACGAGACCAAAACAAAACGCGCATGTACACTAACAAAGTGTACGGAGTTAAAGCATGCATGCATGGAGGCGAAGGGTTGGCCTGAGTCTCCTCGGTAACTCCGTCCAATCCAATTGAGGAGCCAATTCCTCTCCTATAAAAGGAGGGCTCGATTGCAGGGATAAAATACACTCGAAAAAACTCTCTCTGCATTTTCTAAGGTTTCCGACTACTCCCCATCTCCGATCATCTTCTCCGGCGATAACTCCCGTCATTCTTGTTCGCCGGTGCTCTGTTCTACCGCTCTAGACTTAGCACGCTGCGGTTTTATCCTTGGAGGAGATTGCCCACGTTTGCCAGTGCGGGAGGCGAGCAATACTACCTTAAGGAAAGCTCCGGCGACTCCGCTTTCCTTACCTCCTCTCTCCGTCCGTTCAAGCATTCGAAGATTCCATCTTTTTCTTTTCTTTATTTTGTTGTAAAATCCGAACGTTTTATAAGTTCGGATTTATTTTATTTTTATTTTTCCTGCTGTATTATCAACATATCTGACTCGTGGTGTTAACAAGTTTAACATTTTGAATCACTAAATGGACCATTAAACAAAACTTACTTATTTATTGATAATGTCAGAGTAAATATTATACATACAAAAGCTTAAAACTTGATAACATAAAAATATTATTATACTGTCATAACATGTCTTATTCATATTATTATTAGTAGTACTATTGAGATCCATCCGTCCTATCCTTCCAACATCAGTACTGTCCTTAGCTTCGATAAGGTTATCATTTTTTCTTTGCGTACCTAAAAATTTAGCCAAGCCGATCAGCAAAAGCTGAGTGGTACCAACTATAACAATATAATACCTTTCATAAAACCATGTAACAATATTAAATCATTTTATATAAATCTGTAGTAGTTAGATAATCAAACTTTTTCTTTCTTTCTTCTTTACTCTAGTCTAATTGGGACTTCAAGTACTCAGGTACAAGACAAGTCCATTATCTATAAATATATTTCTAGGATTTCAAGTACTTTGGGTTCAAGATGAGTCCATTATTACGAGCTCGTACGTAAGGCAATGGAGGGCTAGTGGTTAACCATGTAGAAACAGGTGAACCGTAGTTCACACATCAAAAATCTTTGATTAATTTTTGAAAAGTATATAAGGGTGCTTCATAATACTACTATTGCATAATATTGTAAACAAAACAATATACAGAGCACAATGCTAGTATGAAGTAATAAATTCAAAATTTTGACCCATAAGAAGTTAATATTACCAGTGCATCACGTGTGCGATGTACAGAAAGGAAAAACTTATCCTAATTGCGAAAAATATATAAAATATTTTAACTTACTAGATATTAATTTATAAATAGTAGATACATACACACTTCCATTTATAAATATTATTATTCATTTAATTTTAAATGGACATACAAAGGATAAAAAATGAGTTTTAGAGCGTACTACATTCAATAGATAATATGAGAATGAAGGATAATAAATTAAGACCAATCAAACATTATCAAAAACCTTTTTATAAACTACATTCATTGTAGTGTTAATTGGAGTATTTTCAGAATTACATATCATTATTTTTAAACTCACTCGGGAGCGTACCACATACAGTTATTCGTGGGTGAAAAAAGGTCTTTTCAAGAACAGGCCAACATGAGAGAGAGATTGTCCCTAGCTTTTGTTTATGGTCATCGCATATGATACCATGATAGAAAATTGTCTTCTTTAATACTTAAATGGCAATCTTGTATCTGAAGGAGTTAATGAAACTCGCGGGATCAAAATAGTTTGTCTTGCATTTTTTCCATGAATCATCCTTACTTCCAAGAGACGGCTACCAAGTATTGTAACAATTAAGTGTGTTTAGTTACTCAAATCGTTAGCATGATCAATGTTACGCAATAGCATTATCAGAGTCCAATCGTTTAGTGTTAGTTCATGATTTGGAATTCTTGAAGATCTAATCGAGTTCAAATACTCTGTAGTGTGTAAATTGCCAACCAAAGAAGTATTCGTATCAGATTGGCATGCACTATTAGCACTCACGTATAGACCTGGCAAAACTGACCCGAACCCGATAACCTCAATCGAATAACCCGAAACCTGTTACAATTCTCGTACGGATTACAACGAACGGGGAAGATGAACGGCCCCGAAAAATAAAAATAAATAAAATTCTAAATTTATAATTTATTCAGAATATTACAAAATAAACAAAGCTGAAAATAAATTACTATATCTTCAAACGGCCTTGCTGTACGAGGACATTAAGGACTGGACAGCGAGAACGTTAAGCACTGGACAGCGAGGTCTTTAAGCACTGGGCAGCGATTCAAGGACGTTATGCACAGGGCTGCGAGGACATTATGCACTGGGCTGCGAGGACATTATGCACTAGGACAGAATGCAGTGAGGTCTTTATGAACTGAACCTACAAAAACACAACACCGTGGAAGGACAGCGGAGTCGCCGGAGCTGTCCTTAAGGTAGTAGTGCCCGCTTACCGTACCGGAAAAACGTGGGCACTCTCCTCCCAGGATAAAACCGCTATCGTGTGTGGAGATTGTACGGACCAACCACACACCAACGAACAAGAACAACGTAGGAACGTTGGCGACCAAAAACTTAAAAAGGGGATGGCCGGAAATTTGGCCGGAAAACCAAGAGCTCTCTTTAAAAAGAAAAAAAATGTTTTCTCTTTTCCTTTCTCTCTTTCTCACGCAAGGCACCAAAGAAAATGGAGAGGAGCACTTTGATTTTATAACTAAGGTGTTTAAAATGTGTAACTCCTACACCATTAAACCCTTGAAATTAATCATGGCATTTGTGGTGTGTTAATGGTGATTAATTAGCCATTAACACGTCCGTTACGCTACGCTCCGTTTAAAATTTGTCCAGTATAATTGGAGATTAATGGCCAGTTAACTCCGTAAAAATGGACTAATTTTAAACAATACGTAAAATTAATAAAAGAAGATTGGTTCAGTAAAATTGCAATCCTCACCATATTCTTTTATTAACGAGTTAACTTTGAGAATCAATTTCTCATTCACCCTCTACCATTTTTGGCGTATAAATTGTCAAAACATTTATCTCATTTAAGAGAACACACGTCCATTAATTAACGGTTAAAACCGTTAGTGGACCTATTGACAAATATACCCAAATTGGTCCATTTAATGCCAATTAAAAATGCCAAAAATTCCAACAAAACCGAACCCGAATTGACCCGAAAACTGAAGAACCAAAATAGAATCGAACATCCGAAATGATCCAAACCGAACCAAAACCGAACCGAATGTATTCACACCCGACTCAGATCCGAATCTGACTTAACCCGATTCGATTAAACCCGAACCTATTAAACCCAAAACCAATTAAACCCGGAACCGATTAGACCCGAAATCGATTAAACCCGAAATTGATCAAATTTATTAATATTTCATTTATCAAATGAACTTGGAGAAAAAGAATTACCGATATATTTTTACATATGTTGATGTGTTTCTAAAAAAACATATTTAAATTATAGGTGCAAACCATGCAACTACTTTCATGTACAAATCTTTTACTCCGTATTTTATAACTTAAGTTAAAGTATTTTAGTATTTTATTGTCTTCGAACTTAAAGTTTGACCAACATCGTCTCTTCAAATATATTAGCAAAAAATATTTAAATAATACATTTAAAGTGTTTTTTAATACCAACAATTTGGTAATAACTTTTACTCTGTATATTTTAATTCATTATATATATATATATATATATATATATATATATATATATATATATATATATATATATATATATATATATATATATATATATATATATATATATAGTTATTCAAATATTTGACACACAAAGGGAAATGGATAGTTAAATAGAAATAGAGGAAGTACGAAGTAGAATGTTAACTTAAAAGGTCGCGCCGAAAACTTTAGGAGGGAAAACTTTAGAATGTAACAAATAGTCAATTATGTTAGTGTTATTTTTTTATGTACGTCTGTGTTAAATAATAAAATAACTATGAAGTATGTCATAAATTGACTAAATTTATTATGTGATACTATTGATTTATTAGTATATATTTAAAATATACATGAAATAATATAAACCTAAACCGATATAAACTCGAACCGATATAAACCCGAATCGGAACCGAAGCGATAACCAGTCAACCCAAAATAAACCCGGAACCGAACGGACTCGAACCGAACCGACCCAAACGGATTAAAACATATATCTGAAAGAGACCGGAACCGAAAAGACCCGAACCGGAACCGAACCGATTGACCCGAATGCCAAATCTACTCACGTAGACCTTGTATCCCTTTCATTCATGGTAATCATGTATTGATTTATTAATTCCCCGACTTCTAGTGTTGGGACTAAAGTTGCACTTTATTGTGGTAAACTATATTGACCAAAATTTGTTGCGAACGTATGATAAATTGTTTCCATAAATTTTCCAATATGATTGTTTCTGGGATCAACCAATAGACCTGAAGGTATTTCAATATCTGCACAACTATCATTTGGACCACCAACATTTCCATCCCCAATATCTACTATCCAATTGGTAAAATGTTGGATTTCAATGCATTTATGATTGTTTCCATTTGAAACTCTCATGTTCTTGATTAGTTTTATCACCTTGTAATCATACCACGAGTATGAAGAATAAATAGCGGCTAAAACAATATCTTGCCTGGTACCTTTGGAAATCACCGGTAGTATTTATCGAAAATCACCACCAAAAGAAGTTGTTTGGCCTCGAAATGGTTTAACATGATTATCTTTGTTGCACACACACATAATCTCCCACATACTCCTATCCAACGCTTCAAAACAATGTTTATGTGTCATAGGTGCCTCATCCTAAATAATTAATTTGCAATGAATTAACAATTGGGCTAAATGGCTGCCTTGGGTAATTTTGTACATGCAACCCTCTTTGACAATGATTGGGATTTTAAAATGTGAATGAGTTGTTCTTCCATCGGATAACAATAGAGAAGTTATACCACTAGATGCAACATTTAATACTATGTCTCCCTTCGAGTCACGCACCAACTTTATCACACACGCAGTTCCAAAGCAATACACTACCCATTTATTTAATTTGATTTGAATAAAGTTTGCATCGACCACGCATTAACATTACCAGGCACGTGGTTTCATATCAATACACTCCCCATTTATTTATTTTGATTTGACATAAAGTTTACATCGAGTCACACACCAACATTACTATGCGCACGGTTCCATATTAATACACTACCCATTTATTTATTTTGATTTGACGTAAAATTTACATTGAGTCACGCACCAATATTACTACGCACGTAGTTCCATATTAATATACTATCCATTTATTTATTTTGATTTGACATAAAGTTTATATCGAGTCACACACAACCTTTACTACGTACGTGGTTCCATAACAATTCACTACCCATTTATTTATTTTGATTTGACATAAAATTTGCATCGAGTCAGCACAAACTTTACAACGCACGTGGTTTCATATCAATATACTACCCATCAATTAGGCTCAATTCGACAAGCCCAAATCCAATTGGATAGTCCATTAATTTAGGCGGGTATTCAAAAAATCAGCTTTGTATATAGTTAGATTAACCAATTTTTTATCCAAAAATTACTTAGAGAGTTAGAGTTGTATATTTTGACCATGCTATACTTACACCAACAAATATACCCCATTTGTACACCACAGGTTTATACAAACATTTCGATGGTTTACACCGACATAGGTGTTGGTGCGTTAATAAAAATTCACACGGACACAAATGTTGGTGCGTTTAACAAAAATTAGTTTTACACCAACACAAAATGTTGGTGCAAAATTGCGGGGTACAAATTGGGTACAAATCTTGGGTACACATACCATAATCCTTTTCCTATCTGCCCTAACGGCGTGACCGCGTGAGATAGTTTGTGGAGAAGTCACTGACGCTACAGGTGAAGCTTTTCGGGATGGGAAGTGAGGACGAAATCTCGATCGAGGCGGCGGCGGCTGCCCGTCGAGAGCGGCTGAGGGCCCTCAGATCTGCCCAAGAACTTCTGGAGACCCCCGACGATGATAAGGACAACAATTCCAGCCAAGACCAAGAAGAAAAGTAAGCACTACTACCAATCACTGAATTTTCATTCAAAGTTTCAATGTTCATCCACTGCTTTTGATGATATTCAGTAGGAATTTGAAGTTCTTCGTTAATTTTCTGAGAGTCTGTTTTGTTTTTGGTTTTTTTTTGTTTTTGGCAGCTATAAGAATGTCCAACACTAATACTACTAATCACTGAATTATCATGAAGATTTTCAATGTTCTTCCATTAGTTTTCATGGTATTGAGTTGGATTTTCTTTTAGTTTCTGAAGATTCTTTGTTGTTTTTGGATTCAGCGCTACTACTAGTCACTGAATTATCATTAAAATTTTCAATGTTCTTCCATTGGGTTTGATGATATAAAGTAGGAATTTCTTTGTTAATTTCTGAAAATCATTTGTTGTTTTTGGATTATTTTGTTATTGGTAGCTGCGAGAATGTCCTACACTACTAATCACTGAATTAGCATTAAAAATTTCAATGTTCTTCCATTGGTTTTGATTATTTGGAGCAGGAATTTCTTCATTAGCTTCTGAAGTTTCTTTGTTGTTTTTGGTTTTTGGCAGCTATGAGAATGTCCAAATGAAATTTCGGAATTATCTTCCTCAAGACAAGCACCTTCAAGAGGGTAAACTTGCTCCTCCCGTTTTACCAAAGTTCAATGACCCTGTAGCTAGCAAACCTGCATCTGAAGAGAAGGAGAAAAGTGAGGACCCTTTCATGAATATCGCCCCGAAAAAACCGAATTGGGACCTGAGGAGGGATGTTCAGAAGAAGCTTGATAAGCTCGAGAAACGCACACTCAAGGCTCTACATCAACTAGGGGGTATGTTCTTTGTTCCGCTTCATTCTTATCCTGTTAATTAAGGCTATATTCCAATTATCTCTTTTTTTTGCTTGAGAATGAAGTATCACTTAAGCCGTTTTCTGGTTTTCTTTTATGTTGATTAAATTGGTTGGCTTGACATCTCCCCTTTTCATGATTAACTATATCAAATATTTATGCAACAATGTGTTCACATAAGAGGTTGGGTTTCTGTGCCACCGAGTTTCGTCGTCTCGCATCCATTGTCAATGGAGCCAAAAGTGTCATTATCGACAATGTTTTAGCTTCAAATAATTATACAGGGTCGTGCCCACCTTATGAGTTAGGATGGCCCCCCTAATCCCTTTGGATTGAATAAAAGTGGATAGATTATAGAAACTCAAACCAATATGGTCCACGAATGTGTGATTTATGTAGTTGGGGTGCTGCCCATAATCAAAATTGCTAGATTCACTACTCATCTCGATATCTACTTCAGCAAACTGACACTTCAAACTTCTGTTGCTTCTTGCCTTCTATATATGACGCTTTGGGTAGTAAATGCAGCAACGTGTTAAGTTTCTAACAAAATACTGCGTGCATCTTGACCTCATAGGAACCTGCACAGTTAGGGATTACTCTGTATTGTTGTTGTTGACCTTCCTCATCTTTTATTGCACTTGCCTCAAAAGGGCATTTTATGATACTCCGTATATGGTTTTAACTTATCTAAGAATTTATAATTTTCTCTTCTACTGGACAAACTATTTCTATAAAAATTTGAAAATTAATGTCACAATAGATGGCATTTTTTTGTTTGCATGAAAAAACTTTATCTTTTGCCATGAAGAGCCAGTTGTGTCAAGGAACCAACTCAACCAAAAGCTCAAGCTTGTGGTTTTGGCCCAGGAAAGGTTTTTTGTATTCTAACACGCCCCCTCACCTGCAAGCGTAATCTTTTGCACGTGAAATCTTTAACTTTTAAAAGTGGGTGGCGCTGAGTTTTGAATCCGTTACCTTTTAGTCAACAAGGCTCCAATACCATGTCAAGGACTCAACCAAAAGAAGCTTGAGTTCAAGCTTGTGGTTGTGGCCCACGAAACTTCTTTTATATTCTAACAAGTTGTAGTTAAATCTCAAAATGGTGTGGCCTTTTTAAGCATAGACTGCTATGCTTTGATAGGTCATGTCAAGAACAGGTTAATGAAATGATGCTGAAAATTACTGTTAGTATTTGTTTTAAGCATTGTGGTTTCAGTGGTAGTGCAAATCATTTAAAAATTGGAAGCCAATGCTTCTAAATTTCAAAAATAGTTGTATCTGCCCTTTCTCAAAATGATTTGATTCAAACTCATACCCTTCATCAATTCAGGTTCTGTTTATATCTGAATAATGTAAGCATCCTAAGTGATATATCCAAATTTTCTTGAATGATTGAATGGAAATTGATTTCTTGGGAAGTGAATTGGGTACTGGGTAGATGTCATGTTTGGCGAGTAAATTCATTTGTATCATCTATAGGTATTGTTTGTTGCATTTTTTACAGTTTTAGATATTTACAAACATTCAGAAGGTAGGCTCTTTTTGTTACTCCGTTTCATTAGAGCATTTGCAGCTTAAGTTTCCAAACACATCCAACAACTCCAAATGGTGGTGGTTGGTTTTACTTTACCGTTTGTTTTTTTTTTCAAAAAAAAAAATTCTAACTTATTTTAAAAGTGTCTACTTTCGTTTCTTCCCCAAATATTCCCATACCTTTTAGTGAATGTCCTTGTGAATAATTATACATCAAAACAACACCAACAAACACCTAAAACCCAAAATATCTCAACAATCTTTGTGCTCCAATTTGCTTAAACGAACAACACCATCCTTCACAGTTCACTTTGTTTAACGTATCTACTTTCGAAAATTGGGAATGAAATTTGTCAAAAAGCGTATTTGCCATTTGGCAAGCATATGGGCCGACCTTTGTCTAGCTATCAATTACTCCCTCTGTTCCTATATAAAATTCATTTTTCTGGTCGATCGATGCTTGATTGAAGTTATTTTCAATTGAATTTATTCAAGTATTAGTGTAAAATTTTAAAACACTATTGTATAATAAAAAATCACAGCATAAGCTTTATAAAACAAGATGTGACATGACTATTTTGTCGTAGTAAATTATTAATGTAAATTAGGAAGGGAGATATAGTTCTTGTGAAGTTTATACACACTGGCATGGGCATCATGTTATAAATCCATTTCTCGCAGCATAAGGTTTAGTCAATGTGAAGTGTGCTCCCATACCGTAGATCCATTATCAACTCCACCTATGGTCTGAATTGAGTATACTACATCTAATAAAAAGCTGTCTGGGTTGTATATGTAGTGCTGGTGTTCTATGCCCTACATTTGCATGTTCATGCTTATTATTTCATTCATTTATTTGCAGAGGAGGAAGAGAAAAGAAGATTGGCAGAAGAATAAAGCGAAATCAAAAATGGTACTTTTAGAGTCGTAGTTCCCCTCCACCCCTGTCTCTTTTCAATAGGGATTTTGAACACGCTACTTACAAATATCAGATGTACCCAATTGCCACAACTTTGTGCGTTGTTAGTAGCATCGTATAAGTCAATGAGTGATGATATTAAAAGGTAAGTTCACATATCGCCTAGATCATGTCCTAACTTCCATCTATACCCCTGTCATTTTCCCAAGTAAATGGTTTCGTGTACGTTGTTTATCAAAATTCTGCTTAGAAATGCCGTAATTTAGGTAGAATGAAGTGGTTTGGAACAACTTGTGTTATGATTGTGAGAGTGATTTTTTACTTGTAGGTAAATTTGGAGGTAGAGACCATCCCTATGTTGGATTTTTGGTTACCCGAGACAGATCTTTGAGGTCTCAAGTTGAGCTAAGTGTTAGTTGCATTTTCTTGAGAACTAGTTTGGACCATGCTAGGGCTATCCATGGTTTACCCTAAAGGTTATCTCAGTCTCTTTTTTGTTGTCACCGACACGAATTTATAGACATGATCATCATGTTCGTGAGTTTGCGTCCACGGAAACGAAAAAATGTCGGGATTACCCTTGGGGGAAACTTGGCTTTTTCCATCCGATTGACCTTCTCGCGGGGAGGGTCTAGTGTGGCTGTGTGGGTTCATAATATGGTTGGGGAAATTGAAAAAAAAAAATTGTTACTAAGTGTTGAACTTTGATCTGTTGAAAAAAAGAAAGCTAATCAAGGCTATATTCCAATTACCTCTTTTGTTTGTTTGATAATGAAGAATCACTAAAGGGTTTTCCTGGTTTTCTTTTATGTTGATTAAATTGATCTCTGTTCTTTTTTTTTCTTTTCGTGATTTACCATATCAAATACTCTATCCCTTTCAAATTACGAGTATATTACAACTTATTTAACTAGGCAAAACTTCTCATTTTTTAAAATCATTTTATTTAAAATTTGGTATATGAATATTTAAAAAAATTTATATATTACTCCCTCCGTCCCTCATAGATCTTCTCAATAGCCCTTTTTCTTTGTCCACAATAGATCTTCTTATTTCATTTTTTAACAACTAAAATACCACAACTACCCCCACTTACTTTATTTATTACACCTCACCCACCTCATTTAATACACTCCACCCATTTTTCATTAAGGGTATTATGGTAAACTTTCAACCTTTTTTCAACTCTCCTTAAAAACCACCAAAAGTCAAAATGAGAACATCTTAGGGGGACGGAGGGAGTAATAAATTATGTTGGAAATTCTACAAAACAAAAGATGATAAAAATATATTTTTTATCAAATAATTAATGAAAATACACAACATTTAGCTTTAGCTTTGGATATAGCTAAAACTGTCATCATTGACAACATTTTGCTTCGGATACATAACTAAATATCTCTGGTCGGACTTAACCTTTTGAAAAGAAAAAAAAGGATTAGCTTCATCCCCGAGGCCCAAGGGCCCCCTCAGACGTCAGACTCAGTCGCAGGACTTAACCTTTTGAGTTGGGATAGGTTCCCGCATCCCAGCTCAGACCAATTTGTCCATACTAATATTTTCTATGATGACAGTTTTATCCATTTAAAAAAAGAGAAATTTGAATAAAATAATACTAATAACAATTTAAAAATGTTGAAAAAGGGTAATAATTAATACGGAGTAATAGTATTGCAGATCAATTAGACAAAAGTGGGTAAGCTTACGCAAACTTCCCGAGAAATTGGGGTTATTTAACAATTTTTAACAATTAATGGAAACTTAATCATTAGTATTATTTTATTCAATAACAATTATTTTATTAAATTAAATATATTCAAAACTTATAAAAAATATTTTCATTGATAATAAGATAAAATAAAATATTCATATAAAATTTTGATATACTTTAAAATATGCAATTTTTACTTTTTGTTTTCTTACCAATTTATTAATAAAATATTTTTATTAACATGAGATTTTGCCCATTGTTTGAAACAGAAATTTAATTTCTAGAAGAAGGGAGTAATATTTATTTCAACATTTTTTTTTATTTTTATCGAACATATTTTAACTTTTTCCAATTTGTCCATATTCTTACCCATTTTCAACATTTTCAAATTTTTTCCAACTCTTTTTTCTCTTTATTCTCTCTAGTTTTTTTCAATTCTTTTTGGTTTTTCAATGAAAAGTAATTAATTAATAAAAATCATAGAATAATGAGATTGAGAAAATTAAATAACAATTATTTGTTTAAAGTAAATGGTGAGTAAATTAAATAATAAATAATACTAATAATTATCTAGAAAATGTTAAAGAAGAGTAGTACTCCCTCGTTGATAAAATAATAATTAATACGGAGTAATACTATTGCAAATCAATTAGACAAAAGTGGGTAAGTTTATGAAAACTTTTCAAGAAATTGGGGTTATTTAACAATTTTTAACAATAAATGGAAACTTATTAATTAAACTTTTGACTATTAGGTGTCATTAAAAGTATAAATGTCATATAATGAATGGAGGGGCATGGATGCCCTCTCAATTACAAAGGCACCAAAGAAAATCCCTTAGATTCCAATAGTAATTTTGACCTTGAAACATTGATGGTTCCACCTTTAGATCGGTGATTTAGCTCTGCCAAATCGTCGATCTAGGGGGGTTAAGAAGGTGAAAATCATTAATTTTATCACCGAAGCATCATAAGTACAATGACAAAGTCATTTAAGCTCAAAATTGAACAAAATCAAAAGATGCTTGCCATTTATATAATCACATGCACTCTCCTTCCCTGAGTATTTGTCCACTTTTGACTTTTTTCAGCAAAAATAGTAAACTTTGATCTCAAATTAAATAAAAATGATATTTGATATTAATACAAAAATAGTTTTATTAGATTTATTGAATTAAATATTTTCAAAATATTATTTTATCTAATTAGTATATAATATATATCTTATTTTATTATAGGTCAAAGATTAAAAATGACTTGATAGAATTTAGGATGGGGTATGGATAACTAGATTGGGCAATAAGACACTTGGGCTGAACCACATTAAAAGATTGAATCCAATCGATTAGTTAGTTAAACTCAAGAGCTTATATATAGATAACTTTTCTATTCAACTTTCCAATGTGGAATAGACTCTAACACTCCCCCTCAAGTGGACAACCGGACCATTTTGAATCTAACCGGTTGACCACTTGCAAATGAACTCCATTCCCTTGACTTTTTTTAGCGCCAACACCCGGTACATACTCCATACGGACAACTGGGCTAAAGACAAACGGGCCGCTAGAAATGAACGTTTAGATAGACACCTTGACAAACGAGGTGGGCTAAAACTAGCTCTGATACCATGATAGAATTTTAGGATGGGGAAGTGATAACTAGATTGGGTAATAAGACACTTGGGTTGAACCACATTAAAAGATTGAATCCAATCAATTACTTAGTTCAACTCTAGAGCTTATATACCAATTATTTTACTTTGGGGATGTACTCTAACACTCCCCCTCAAGTGGACAACCGGGCCGGTTTGAATCTAACTGGTTGACCACTTGCAAATGAACTCCCATTCCCTTGACTCTTTTTTTTAGCGCCAACACATAAAGGGCCACGAGGCGCTGAGTATGGACTTCCAGACGAGCAATCGTGTTAAATAGGCCACATGCTGTTGGGTACAACCTCCATACAGACAACTGGGCTAAAGACTAACGGGCCGCTAGGAATGAACGTCAAGACGGACACCTTGACAAACGAGGTGGGCTAAAACTGGCTCTAATATCATGATAGAATTTAGGATGAGGTATGAATAACTAGATTGGGCAATAAGACACTTGGGCTGAACCACATTAAAAGATTGAATTCAATCGATTATTTAGTTAGATTCAAGAGCTTATATACCGATAACTTTTCTATTTAACTTTTCGATGGGATAGAAACTAACATGATTAATCGAAAAAATCAAAACTTTGATAAATTATTAGGGACGAAGGCCGTATAAGTTTTGTATGATTAGTGACTCACCAAACTCGTTTTAGACCCTTCGTAGTGGGGCTTTATGCACTCCCATCATCTTATGCCACCCATAAGTACCTCCACCTCATGCGCCATAAAGCCCATAATACCCCAAAGTTTATCGTTGTGGCCCCTATCTTATTTTACTGAATATATATTGCACTATCAGTTGTGCGATACTTTTTGTACATTCATGTTGAGTCTTTATTTACGAGTAATAAAATATAAGAAATGTCATTATATAGGAGTAAGAATATGTGAAAAATACAAAATTAGGAGTCATGTATCTTTTAAGAACAAAATAGGAGTATAATGACAGTTTGATGTAAGAATACGCATTGGCAGTGTGATGGAAAACTGATGAGTGATGACAATGTAATATGTCAGTATGATCAGTCAACCATCGGTGATCTGCAGGGCACTCCAATGGCTGGCGGCGACAGATGACAATGTGGCATTGATAGTGTGGCAGTTACGATGTGACAATGTGGTGAATGTGGCAGTGTAAACTCCTATTTTGGTTTTGAAAGACTTATGACTCCTATTTTTGTATTTTCATAGTTTTTTACTCCTATCTAGGAAGTTCTTCCATAAAATATTGATTTTCAAGCAATTGAATACTCATTTTTGAGCAATCTAATATTTATTTCAAGAGTAACTGAACATTCATTTGTCTAAAATTTAGTTATGCTCGTAAATGAATAATCAGTGACTTGAAAATGAGTACTCTATTACTTGAAAATGAGATTTGAAAATAAGTACTCAAGCGGATGTACGACAAACATCATACATCCGAACGTATGGTATAGGAACTCCCCATATCACTATATTTATTCCTACTTTTTTTATTTTTACATCTAATCTATTTTACCTTTAATTTAATTAAAAAATATTTAAAAAAACTACTCCCTCTGTCCCAAAATATTTACAGGGGGCTTTTTCAGTAGTCGCGGGAACTTTTGTTTAATTTATTTATACGTTTTCATTGATTATTTGATAAATAAAATATTCTTGACACCTCTTATTTCGAAGAATTTTTCATGTAGCTTTTTGATATGTAAATTTTATTTTTTTTATTTCTATACCAATATGTAAATAAAATGAATTGAAAAAACTTGATATTTTCACTCGAGAATACAAGTGTAATAAATATTTAGGAACGAAACCAATATTATATATAATCATGAAACGAGCTTTATAACTTCACTATTCTTATGTCATATAAGCGTTTGATGAGGTACATGTCACATGACAATACTGTCTTTTTCAAGACTATGTGACTAAATATAAGTGTGTTATCACTCTAAGGGTTCGAAGACGTGAGTACGCGACCTTTGATTTGAGAGAGGCATAGCGATCGATACCAAGTACTCCCTCGTCATTCAATATTTGTTTACTTTTGACTTTTTCAGACAAAATTAGTATACTTATTGATCTCAAATTAAATAAAATGATATAGAGTATTAGATATTGATACAAAATAGTTTTATTAGATTTATTATACTTGTATAAAATATTTTCAAAATATTATTTTATCTAGTTAATATATCATATATATTTTATTTAATAATATGTAAAAGGTTCAAAACGATTAACTGAAAAAATCAAAATAGAACAAATACTCGCGGACACCAATGAAGCTAAGACCATGTTCTTTTCGATTCGAATTTCAGTGTTGGATGTTAGAAGAAACTAGAAGGAGTGGGAATAAACTGGAAAGAATTGGAAAATATTGGTAGAATCAAACTATTAAAAAGTCATCCAATCAAATGATCACCAAATAAACATGTTAGAAAACTTTAGTTTTGCATAAATTTTTTTATCTTTGTTATGTTTGAGGTGATGTCCTATACATTTAGATATATAATGATATTCAATTCTATAGCAATCATATACAAATTCTACTACCTCCGTCATAGAGTATTTATCCACTTTCATTTTCACACACCATCCAAAATACTTTTTTAATCCATTTTATCTTGTAATCTGTATATTAAAAAATTCTAGAAATTATATATTAATAATCTATATGTTAAGACAAATCAAACAAGATCACACATGACTATATTTAAGTTTACACATTGAGAGAATTTGATGAGTCAAAGTGCTTAGATGAACAGTTCAAAAGTCAAAACTGGACGAATACTCTGAGACAGAGGGAGTATTTTTTAGTCGGTTAGAAAAAACTGAAAAGAGTTGAAAAGAACTGACAGGAGACTGGAAGGAGTTATAAGAAAGTTGAAAGTTAATTCAAGTCTAATCCTCCCTCCGTCCAACAACAAAGTTCTCATTCACTATTCAAACAGTCAAACTTTATTTCAATTTGTTGGCCTATTTTCGTGTCATATTTGATAAAATAATATAGTTATGTCACCTCTAGTTTTGTAGATTTTTTTCATCTAGTTTTAAATATGTAATTTTTATTTTTTTAATTTCATACGATTTTTTATATAAAATACTACCTCCGTCCCAGAGTATTTGTCCACTTTCATTTTTACACACCATCCAATACACTTCTTTATTCCATTTTATCTTGTAATCTGTATATTAAAAAATTATAGAAATTATATATTAATAATCTATATGTTAAGACAAATCAAACAAGATCACACATGACTATATTTAGGTTTACACATTGAGAAAATTTGATGAGTCAAAATACTTAAATGAACAGTTCCAAAAGTCAAAAGTAGAAGACGAAAGTGTTACGGAACTTTATTATAGAGGAAGAGAATATTATTTATGTTATCCTATTTTTTACTCCGAATTTTTGCTAGTATCTAGGCATTAGTTGCACGAGACGCGATGGAAGCTAATGGCGGTAAAGGACAGGCAGTGCTAAATATTGCTGTTACCCAATGGCGGTAAAGCATTGTAACCATAGTAGAATGAAGCGCTCCATCTGCACTTCCTCTTCTTCTTCTTCTTCTTTGCAATCCAAATGCAGATTTCTTCTACTGGCATTGCTCTTCGCACTCGCCGGAGCAAGTCCACCGTCACCTCTTGCTGCCGCCGCAGGCGGCGGAGGAAGACCCCGAGAAGATGCGAGCATCCCAATTACCGGCAATGTAACTACCGACAACCAGAGCGTGGCCTTCTATAGGCGGTCTCTGATCATCAATGGCCGCCGGAAGCTGCTAATCTCCGCTTCCATTCACTATCCCCGCAGCGTCCCGGCTGTAAGTCCCTTGCATCTCTTTTCCGGGGGGAGTCAAATTAGAAAATAGATCTGAGTAGGAAAAACACAGATACTGGAAATTGTGCTCTATTTTGGTGTTGTTCTCTTGATTTTGTTTGAAGTTTCATGATCTATTAACAACTGATAAAATCTGGTATTCATTAGATGTGGCCTGGATTAGTCCAACTGGCGAAGGAAGGAGGAGCTGATGCTATTGAAACTTATGTGTTCTGGAATGGCCACGAACGTTCTCCCGGAAATGTGAGGCCGATGAATCTTAGCTTAGAAATCCTAACTTTTTTTTCATGTCTATTTTCGTTTCTAATGCTTCCTTTTCCCTTGCAATGTCAAATGTTTCAGTATTACTTTGGTGGAAGATATGACTTAGTGAAATTTTGCAAGATCGTTCAGCAAGCTAGTATGTATCTGATACTTCGAATTGGACCATTCATTGCAGCAGAGTGGAATTATGGGTATGCCAATGCACCACTGATCTGATAACTATATTAAATCCTTCAACATATTTACAAGATTTGTGGTTACATATTGTTGGGTCTGCGCATACCCTCACCCCAACCCCACATTGGTATGATACTGTCCAGTGTGAGCCAAGCCTGCACTGATTTGTTTTTGGGCACCTTCCAAAAGGCGTCATACTAATGGGTTGGGTTGAACCTATATATTTTGGTTCATTTGTTCTTCCTCCTTTGATGTGGGAGGTGGTTTGCACCCCAACACACACACGCACACGCACGCACACACACACACATACTGATCCTATACATACACGTCATTAATAGCACTTGTTCTCCGCAATCAGTTTATGAATTGAGGTTTTAACTTTTGATCCCTGTATTTAAGTGTTTTTGGAGTTATCAACACTCTGTCAACAAGGTTGTGTAGATTGAATACTTACATATTGCTGGAAAGAATCTTACTTAACACTGCTTAGTAATGCAACTTAACACTGGCTTAATAATGCAGTGGAGTACCTGTATGGCTCCATTATGTACCAAATACCATCTTCCGGACCGACAGCGAACCTTTTAAGGTGTGTACATCATTGCGGCATAGATATTTGATACTAAACCAAATCTCAATACATACTGTGATAGTAGTGCTGCATTTGTTGAAAGTATCATATGAACCTTTTTCTTATAATCTGGGATCCAAATTCCAGTTTTATATGCAGACTTTTATGACATTCATAGTAAATCTGATGAAGAAAGAAAGGCTTTTTTCATCTCAGGGGGGCCCTATTATCTTGTCACAGGTATGTGAAGCTCCTAACTTGATTTGTTTGGAAAATTACATGAATCATATTCTCCATTTATGAAGTAGATTTTTTAGGGACAAAAACAGTACTTTAGGAACCTTTTCGCTCGATAATGAAGTGTACACTTTTCTTTTTCGTCTGTACTAATAAAGAGTTTACACTTCTTCTTTTTCATTTTTAGGAAAAAATATTTCGTTCAACGTATTTCTTTCTTCTAAACAAATTCCAACCAGCAACTTTAAAGTTTATAACAATTTTCTTAATTTCCATCAAGTCAAAGTGTTAACTTCTTTTTGAGACAGAGAGGCTTGAGTGTATGATGTATCCATGAATGAATTTTTTTGAGGGCGGGGGAAGAAGAGTATGGGGTCCAGGGGAAACGCCTTCAGTCAGTTCAGTGTATTTAATGCAATGTGGAATGACAAAAAGAGTAATATTAATTTTACAATTTACTCATCAATTTCATCTCAAACAACCATTTAAGTACTCCCTCCGTCCAAAAATGTTTTGCACTTTGTGCAAAACAAAGCAAAATTTCAAAACTTTTCTATTCATTTTATTTAAAGATTGGTATAGAAATATAAAATAAAAGTTACATATTAAAAAACTACATCAAAAGTTCTACAAAACAAGAGGTGACAAAGAATATTTTATTTTATCAAATAATCAATGAAAACGCGTAAATAAACACAAGTTCCCATGATTTTTGAATAGTGAAGTGTGAAGATCTTTTTGGGATGGAGGGAGTAATTAAAATGAAAAAGCCTTAAGTTTTATCCAAAAATTGAAGAAGACCTTAAGAACCCTAGTTTCAATCCAAACCCAATCGAAGGAATACACCAATCCGCATTAAAATTCATACAATCAACACTTGATAACATCAGTAATAACAAATACATGAAGATTCACTCTTTAATCCAACAACACTAGAATTTTGCATTTTAAAGTCGTTTTTGCTCAAAACAATGTTGTTTTGAGGTATTGCCTTAAAACCCAGGGTCAGCTGCGGAGGAGTATACAAAACAGACTAACGAAATATGTTTTCTATTTTAAAAATTTGATAATAAAAAGAAAATCCAGAGAAAATAGCTAATGGAGTTAAAAGAGCGATTATTGACATTTTTTTTAGTTTCAGAGACACAATTGACTAAATCAAAATGTAATCTTAAACTTCCCTGGATTTATACTTTCTATGAAGTTTTGGACAGTAAATGTAGCAATGCATCTAAGATCTAACTAAAATAGTCTCTATGAGGGATATGACTGCATATATCTTGGCCCTCAGCCTCTAACTGGTTGGGATTGCACTGGGTTGTTATTGTTATTGATAAGAAAATCATAATTTCTTAACTTAACACAAAAAAAAAAAAGATACACTATGCAGTGTATAGTTCGTGAAAGGTTTCATGCCTAATTTATTTGATTATAATATTTCATTCTTTACTCTTCAAGGAAAGCATCCAAATTTCTCAAATGTTAATGTATCAAATGATGTAGCTTTTGTTGTGATGATTAGGGCACATTGACATGGAATGCCACCAAACTTCAGCATAATTTGCCTTACTCTTTCTAATTATATTTTGCTTGGATGCATAAATTATAGCTACTGATCTATGAATGTCTTGAGATTCATTAATCAAAAGTTTGTAAACAGGTAGAAAATGAGTATGGTTTCTACGAAGCAGCTTATGGGGAAGGAGGTAAAAGGTATGCCTCTTGGGCAGCAAATATGGCTCTTTCTCAAAAGACAGGTGTGCCCTGGATTATGTGTGAGCAATTTGATGCTCCTGCTGAGGTGGTGAGTACTTGCTGCTTCAGTCTGACACGTTCTCGCTAACATATTTTCTCATTGTTTACTAGTACTACATAATAGCATTAATCTCAATCCGCATGCACACAACTGACGCAAGTGTAGTCAATACAAACAGTTATTTCTGCAGTTTTGTGTGAACGTTGCATCTTATCGTGAAACATACAAATGTTTGGGATCAAACATTTAAATGTTTCGGGCTGTTTTGCAAATGATGCTAAAGATAAACATTACATTTGAATGTATTGTTTTATATATTTGAATGTACATTATATTGAACGCCGTTTACTAAAATCAAAAGGATTTTCATAAGGTGATGATGTCCAATGGCCCGATAAGTGGCTCTGCCCCTTGGACTCTGCTACCGGGGCTGCCGCCCGCAGACCCTGCTATGAAATTTGTAATTTTGTTGAACGAGCGTGCATTTGTACCTCCGAACTCATTATCAATATCTATTAAAATTCTCGTTTATTCTAAGTAAATCTAATTACATAAAATAGCGTATGACACTAAAATCATCAACAAATATTATTACCCCTTTTTCACATAGAGGAATGTCTATCACTCTGTGCGTATTCATAATAAGGACATAGGTATTCTTTTGGTTTATAGGCCCTGACCTTTTTTTGCCTAGCATTACTTTGTGAGATTACTGAGATAGCTTCCCGTAGCTATTTCATGTATTGTTCTACTAGTAAAGCATTCATTTCAGAAATTAACATGTGTTATGTGGTTTCTTTCTATTTTCTTTTTCCAAAAATGAAATGTATTCCCTGAACATGAACCTGCTATTATCTTAACTAGTTAAAGATTAGAAAATCCTAATTTAGCACTAGCCTTACTATATAATGAAGTGGTCTTCTTTGAATGTATTGTATTTCAATATAAGAGTATTACATATCTTATTCTTGGTTACTTATATTTTTCTAAGTGGGCAGGTGACGGCTGTTTTGCCACCCGCCATACCCACAAAACCACTACATCGTAGACTCTTTTGTAGGCCATTTAATATGATTCCATTGCTGACCAGTACTTTACACTGGCTGTCTCAAAACATCCTGGTAGCGTGTATTAGAGCAATTAAAGGCATGCATAGTCTGTAAAAAAAGGCATGCATAGAGGAGCCAAGATCAGATTGAGGAGAGTTGGGGGAGGCTTAAAACATTTTCTGGCAGAGATGTGATTAGAACAACCTATTAGGCTCCATGACGGTACCCACACACCTCTGGAGTCTGGATGAGCTCCAGATCATGTACTTCTAACTTAACTTACAAGGAGTTCCATACAACTTTGCTCTTGTCCGGTCCTTCTACCATCCTTTATCATCTTGATGACATTGTTTTCTTTCCTCTGGCCCTTGAATATTTTGGAATCCATACAACTTTGTCCCCATGGTCATATTTCTTCTTCAACCTTTTGTAATTGAATGCGTTCCTTACGTGGATCTTCAATGACAAATAGAAAATAGTTCCGATTGCCCATTTGGTTGCTTTATCATATTTTCTTCTGCTAATTGGTAGGTGGTGGCTATTTGCCACCCATTCCACCCACAATTCCTCTACACCAAGTTCAAGCAATTCACGGACAAAGAAAACTGATTCAGACAGCAGCACGAAGTTTGGCAATTCAGTAACGATTTAGTTTCCTAAGTGTATTCCATGTCTGCACAAAGTTTGTTTATTTATTTTCCCAATAGTGCCATTCTGATGTTTCTATCTTTTATTACTTTGTCGATTGAAGCAATGATTACCGTTACTACCCTCTGAAGATGTGTTGCTTGAGTGAATTATAGATTGCCATTTTAAAGTACATTGTACAAGTGGTTTGAACAGACAGTAAATAACCCAAAGCTCAACCCTTCTAAATTTCTCTTGGGGGTGCCTCTTTAGGACTCTCAGACTTACATTTGAGATCATATTAAGTGTTAACGTAGAATCATTCATTTTAGCTCAATTCGTTTATATCTATATACTTTCTTACAGATTGACACTTGCAATTCCTTTTATTGTGATCAATTCACACCACTCTCTCCAAACAAACCCAAGATTTGGACAGAAAACTGGCCTGGATGGTAAGTCATATATTTTTAATGCAAAGTTAATCTCTGCTTCTTCTAAGATGTAAGTAGTAATCTGTCTTGTCATGTTGTCTTTTATGTTTCATTGTGATAGTGCACCCTTTAGACTCCACACCCTTCAACCCCTCAATTTCAGCAACCCCAGCTCGGGCAAGTGACTACCTTCACCACGTCACACTAAGTGCGAGTGCAATCCCTTTTATCTATTGATAGGAAGAATTGATGCTAGTAACTTATTGTTCACCATGCAAATGCATATGTCATTTTGAACTCTTGAAAAGATGGGGAACAAATGTGAAATCATAAGATTGCCAGTTCCTGACTTTTGTTTTCTGGACTATCTATGGCCTGCTCAGTGAGAAGAATCCTAATAGCCTTAAATAAAGTCTAATTCTTGATGTAAACCTTCATCACATAATTATTGACAGTAGTGAAAGGGACCAGACTAGAGGCATCCAGAGGACATTCCTTTGATAACAGCTGCCACCCCCACCACTTGATATGCTCAGTAACAGTAATATAATTCTAGCATTATAAAATTTCAGGTTTAGGACATTTGGGGACAGTGACCCTCACAGGCCTCCAGAGGACATTGCTTTTTCTGTGGCACGTTTTTTTCAAAAAGGTGGAAGTGTGCATAACTATTACATGGTATATGTCTTGCCTACATTATCTCCCTAAGCTGTTTTATATGTATGTATTTCATTTGATGGTGCCTTAAGTGACTGGTGTGGAAATTCTGTTCTTTTATGTTTGACTTCTTTATTTCCTTTTGTTCATTCATTAAATAGTATCATGGTGGGACAAACTTTGGTCGTACATCAGGTGGCCCATTTATTACCACAAGTTATGACTATGAAGCACCCATTGATGAATATGGTAAATTTGTACGATAAACTACTCATTCAGGAATATTAAATGTTTATAATCTTTTAGTGAGCAAAAGCTCTAAACAATTCATTTTAAGGTAGAATTTGATTTTTTCACTAACGTGGCTTTCAGGTCTAGCAAGATTCCCCAAATGGGGACATCTTAAAGAACTTCACAAAGCAATAAAGTTGTGTGAGTCTGCGTTGCTGAACAATGAGCCTGTTTCACTTTCACTAGGTCTTTTACAGGAGGTAACTTAATGGTTTATTTATTTTGGTTAAAATATGTGTTCTATGATCATCTATGATCACTCATTCTCTCTTTAATTGTTATGGATCAAATTCTCAAACTGGGAAATTAGAAACACAACATTTTTTAGCAAAATGGTCTTTCCACTTCTTTTATATATATATATATATATATATATATATATATATAT